AGTTGAACATTTTTTGCATAAGGATGGCATGACTGAAAGTGGCCACGATGCGGAGCTCTTCAACATCCTGCAGGTGAATGGGCTTGAAGTTGGAGATGTGTCTGTGTGCCGGATTCGCAGCAGAGTGGCTGACGCAACTGCCAAATCACTTCCGTCGACGTTACCACCTGAGCTTTCGACAGTGCTGCCGCAAGCCTTAACGGCACAAGGACTGCAGTGCCTGCATGTTGTCTGTGACTGTGGCAGTGACTGGGTCTTGTTGGTGTCTTTTGCTGGTGCCTCGTGCTGGTGCCTCGTGCAGGACAAGCTCAAGCTTTGGCAGTGTCTGCGGGCCTTCAGCGACTCCGGCACAGACAACCGGCTTCATCGACATTGCGTGATGCTCTGCAGTCGCCTCTCGACTCCGAATCATGATATAATTGCAATGGTGTTGTTTAAATAGGCAAAGGGGAAACAAGGGTCTAGAGTTTAGGGTTAATTACTAATTTCAGTCAGGTACATGGACACTGACGCTGGCAAGAAGTGGCAGCAGGAAAGGGACTGGGACATCAAAGGAGATTGAATTGTGGCTAACTGATACTGATGTTCTAAGCACCGCTGGTCTGAGGAATGTTGTGGCTAAGTGATTGTACAGTGCCTGAAGAATCACTGTCTTGGTTCATAATATGCTCAGCAGTCCAGCCAGTCCAATCTTCTCAGATGATGTCGCTGTCATGCAGCGCACCGTTGAGACCGCTGCACTAGGGATTGGGTCTTCAAAGAGGATTGACTTGTGGCTGACTGATGATCTAATCTAAGCACTGCTGGTCTGAGGAATGTTGTGTCTAAGTGATTGTACAGTGCCTCAAGAATCATTGTATAATATGCTCAGCAGTCCAGTCCAGTCCAATCTTCTCAGATGTCCCTGACACACAGTGCACCGTTGAGACCGATGCCCTCGCAAGAAAGAAATGCTTCGGGGAATCAAGTCACTGCAATGCTGATTTCAGTATTTACGCATCACTTGTCCAAGCGAAAGTTTATCCTGATCAGGTTTACCTTGGTGCTGGTAACTCGATCGGTGAGTGCCTCAGCTCAGGGTTCCCAACGACTGAGCGTGTGCCACTGAGTCGGGGCCGAACAGGTGTCTTGTAGACGAGCCAACCACGGCGATGCTGTCACATGGAATGGCGAGAGTCTCAGCATCAAACGACACATATCCATTTCCAGTTAAGCTACTACTACTTCCGGGTGTTATCATTGAAGTTGAAGTGTTTCCTTTGTGAAAGTCAGCATCATGATGATGCTTGAATGTGCCACGGACGGGACATGGCAAGAGTCTGCCTGTCAGGTCGGGCGAATTCCATTATAATATAATCGGCGAAGGCTGCAAGATATTTCTCTTTCTTGTCTCGTTGATAGATGACATATACCCAGATTTCCTTGAAAAGGGAGCAGCAGCTGCGAGCGATAATTGTGCAGGCTGACACCGGCAACCTTCCTTTGAGTGACTGAAGTAGACTTTTTTTGCCTGTGTTCATGTCGTTCCCATTACATTAATTAAGATGTGTCCGAGGCTCATGGCATGGTGTGGGAAGGAGTCCAAGCCTGCGAGTCGACCGGTCACCGACCCAGCATGTGCTGTGTTTGTGTGTGCATTCGTTCGCAATCTTCCAACTGTGAGTGAGGTGCTGTCCATTGATTGATTGATCGACTCACACATGATTTGGACACCTCCGATATTTGACCGAAGCTGTGACTGTTTCAGTGCCTGTTCTGTTCTGAAGACATGGCGGTAGCAACTCGTGCCGGCGTGTATGAATGGCGTCATGGCGCTCGACAAGAAACCTTGTTCCTGTTCGATAACTGGCGAACGGGCTTCAAGCGCCGAACTCGTGGCTGCGCCGGGATTTAGTTTGATTTTTGAGTGTAGTGTAAGAAGTTAGAGCATGCTGACTGCTGATGTTTCGGTGTGTTTCCTGTCTGATCTTCCAGCGTTTGCTTGCAACTATGCTCACTTGCATCCAAGGTACCGGTCGCGTGGCTTACGGTATGCAGGGTACGTGGTGCCTGGCTGCCGATGGCCGTGACATCTTGCTTCGTGACTTCGCTTGTTGCTCTGACGTCGGCGTGCGGAGACACGAGATTTGTTTGCGGCAGGACAGTGACTGTCATGGCCACTTCACTGACGGCATCCGCAAAGTGTCTTTCGTTGGTGTCATCACACTGAGCTCACCGAGTGCATTGCCGACAAGCGTGCCTGAGGGCTGGGTTCTCATCGAGGAGAGGAACTTTCAGCAGTGATTCAGTGACTGCAGCAATTTTGTTTCACAGCGCGTTCAAAGGGCCTTTGAGAGTTTGTCTGATTTTAAATAGGACATCACTTGTGCATGGTTCAGTCTGTGCAAGTGCACGTGTGTGTGTGTGTGTGTGTGCATGTGTCCCTTTGCGATGCTACAGCTTCCGTGAAGCCATGTTCAAGCAGTCCATGTCTGGTCACAGTGACTTTCTGTTGCTGTGCCATTGTACACGAATCGACTGGACCACATGGCTCAGTAGTAGCAATAGTGGCCATGTCTGGTCACACTGAGTTCCGTTGCTGTCATTGTACACGAATCGACTGGACCACACGGCTCCGTAGTAGTCGCTGTGGTGCTAATATGGCGGACGAGTTTAACTCTGATGTGTAGTTGTTGGCCGTGCGACCAAAATGTGCGTGCGTTCCCAGATTCTGACATCGTGTCTCATAAACTGTGTGTCGCTCATGCCGCGCCTGCTTGCCCCCAGTGGCCCAGGTCTCAGAGTGTCAACATCTTGCAAGAGGCTGGTCCGTGAGCTTGTCTTTACACAGCAAAAGGTGCGGTACAGCGCATTTGCTGCATGCTGGGTCTGGAAAATCATGCACATTCAATATTTTGATTAGCCGGCAGCCAAGAATAATCAATCCGCCGCTGGTTGAACTGTAACACGTGACGTGTGATTCGAGTTATCCTGAATCTGCCTGCTGCAAGGTCTTAGTGCCTGTACGTGCTGAAAACTGAGTCTGGAGGAAAGGAGGCCTGTGACTGTGTGGCTTTGCATGCGCTGCTAGCAGAGTGTTTGCTGCCAGGTGGTTGTTCATGGTAATAGGTTCCGGTGTCTAGTACACTGCATGTGCTTCGTGCTAGGTGTGGAATCTCTTGCCAATGTGCATACTAATGGCGAATGTTTGCCTCAGTTCCTCGGGAGTCGTCGTGCCTAGCTTCAGTCGTGGAATCGTGCCATTCTGATTCTGAGTCCTGTGACGTGAATAAAAATATCTGTGCAGTCCAATATTTGCCCTTACTTACTTGCGACAGCGACTTCAGGAAATAAAGGAATTGTTGTGAAGAGTTCGTCTGAGAACTGACCTACGCCGAGAGCTTGTAGTGCGGCAGGCGCGGCTTTACAAGGGCTTGAGGCTTTAGTACAGTTTGGCCTGGACATCTTTCAATTCCGTGTTGGTGTCTTGCAGTCTCTTGCGTTCAAGAAAGCTGTGCACTTGACTTGTGACTTAGAGTTCGGATCTGGGAGGACCGTTCGTTGTAAGTGGGCGTTGTGGCTCGCACTCGCAAAAGCCTAGTCACTGGCCGACACAAACTTTGTGTCTGTGAAAAACTCTGACTGGCAAAAGTGCCTAAGCCATGCCAATGCCAATGGACCCGGACTCCCAGAAGGTCTTTCGAAAGCTTGCGAAATTGCTGTCGGAGCGACAAGCCAACTATGTCCTGCAGATGTGGCTGAGATTGTACTACGACCAGTGTGTGCACCTCAATATACTAAATCAGAAATTCTTTTGCTTACTGCGATTCGTCCCAAAGCCCTGTGACTGTAATAAATATTAATGACCAAAGTCCAGCTAGCTGTCATCCAAGGGAAGACTGCCTGGGCGACTACCTAGAGTTCCGCATGTATTGGATCGAAGAGTCTCTCAACAACGAGGTGCACACCGAGTTGGCGAAAAGAAGCAGGTTGCTCGAGCTCAAGATCTTGAGGAAGATCGTCACCGTGAGATAGTGACTCAGCGACTTAGTGACTGAGTGGCGGAATGACTTCGGAGCCGGACCGAGGCCGAGGCTTTTTACAAACACAGTGTGTTTTCACCGTGTTTGCGCAAGTAATTTGTATACGAGTAGGAAGTGACAAAGTGGTTGCACAGAATCAGAATGCAACCCAGTCAGCAGCCGGCAGTGCGGCAGTGAACATATTTATCTCAGTGCTTACTGAGCACTGAGGTAAGCATGGGCCTGGGCCATGTGACTCTATGCTAGTTACATATGTATTTAATTTATATGTATATATATATATATATATGTATGTACATATTTCCACTCCTGTGTCGATTCGAGGAGCCTGAATTTGCCTGCGGTGCCGTGCTGTCCTAATTCAGTTTATCGGCAGCAGTGTGTCTATGTGGGAATGAAACAGTGCTTGCTCATATAATGACTAAGTCTTTATTTGACCGCTACTGCCCACAAGTCGGGACTGCTGATGCTAACAGAGTGCACAACTCGACCTGCCTTCAACAGCAGCTAGCAGTGGAAAGTGTGTGTGCCTGTCAGTGCCTAGCCTCGGTTAGAGAGTTCTTTGTTTTGGCCTTGAGCCTATGTTATGTCGCCAGGTCTGAGCTCCTGGACTCTGGACTTGACTTGCCACACATTGAGAAGGCCCGCTGTGTAGAATAGAAGGGCATTGATTCATTGACTTCCTGCTCATCCAGGTTGCTTGGTGTGACGATGTCTGAGCTGCCACTTCGGGCGGCCAGTACGGGCCTTGCCTGGTGCCTGATTGATTTGTGCTTCATCATTTATTAATTGAGTTCTCGTCAGGTGCAGTTTGCTTGAATGAATCATCCAAGCAGGCTGCACATGACTGAGGGTATGTCGATCTTGATAGAGTCATTGTTTCACAATCTCGTCAGCTTAGTGTGACGATGTCTCAGCTGTCGCTGCCAGTGCCTGATTGATGTGTGCTTCGTAAATCAGTGTCAACTTTGAGCAGGCATGGAGGGTGCCTATTGGGATCCAATATGCCCCCTCCATGCGTGCTCAAAGGCGCAGTTTGCTTGAATGAATCATCCAAGCAGGCTGCACATCTGGTCGTGCCTGATTGTCGTTGAAAATAAGAAGCAGTCAGCCTGCTTGAATGATTTGTTGCCGGTAGCAGTCTGCACGTGTGCCTCAGAACCGTCTTGGCGAATGAAAAAGTGTCCTCTCGATCTCGACTGCAAGCTTGGCTTCCCTTTGTGTTGACTGTCCCCCAGTAAATCCCTCTATACGAAAGCTGTGTTAAAGCCACCACGCCCCAGTCTGCTATCAATACAGCAACCACTTACTCCTCCCAGATACGTACTTATAGGAAGACTAGTTATTTCGGATCCCCAGTCATGATAGTCCCTCTATCGTCTTCTTTACAAAAAACCCAAGATAACACTAAAGATCGTATTTATATTATGGTTCGGTTCCAAGGGGAGTAGAGATGAGAATCCCTGCAAGCCCCAGGTCAACCGGTGGACTTGAACCTAACGTCGTTAGCTACAGTTCTGCGATCACCGCCTACGACAGAGCAGAGAAGTGGTGGGCAGCCCATCACGTTCTGGTGACATTTCCCATGGCCAACGTTGCTTGTGCCCTGAACGGTTCAGGGTTTGAGGTGTAGAAATCCTAAACCCTAATCCCTTAAACCTAAACCCAAATCCCAATCGAATCTGATCATGGTGGCCACTCTGCTGCTTAACATAGGGCCTAGGGTGCCTCTCTTGACTCCCGCTAGACTACCTACCCATAGGCCCCATAGTAGTTCCTTTTTTGGGGGTTCATATTTAGAATCCTTTAAGGTAATCCCAAAAATGAGCTAGTATGGGGCCAAGGGGTAGACTGTGGTTTGGGGATGTCGGGTTTCCGGCTTGAGCGTATCTATGCGTGCTAGGCAGGTGTAGCTTCCTTCAGTTTGCTCGAAGAAGCTGTCAGGTTCGTGCCAATGTCGTTAGCTTCAACGCGGGCCTCAGTGCCTTCGAGGTGGGTGCGGAGTGGCAAAAGGCTCTGCTACTTCTACATCAGATGCCTAGTGTGCGCCTGGGTATGGATGCTCGCTCGCAATCTGGGAGACTTCTTGATTTCTCCGGTGGTGTCATGGTTTTAACGATTCTTAAACCTGAACCCCAAGCCCTAAAGCCTCAGCCTTAAGTTAAGACCAAGGACGTGATAAGCATCGGCTCGGCTATCAACGCATGTGACTCGGGCGAGTGCTGGGAAATGGCTACTCAGTTGCTTGCAGGCATGGGCCAGGCTCATCTGACACCCAATGCGATCCTAGGTTCTTGAGTGGCACCCTTTTGCCCTTTTTGGTTTAGGGTTCCCTTATTAAAACCAAACAGCAGGAAAAAGGGTAGCCTTATTATAAAGGGGCTACTCAGAAACCAAGGATCAGCTATAATTCCACCATCAGCTCCTGTGGGAAAGGAGGACAATGGGAGCAGGCGCTGGAGCTGTTGTCCCGCCTGCAAGCGGCTAGGCTTGCCGATGTGGTGGGTTTCAATGCCACCATCAGTGCCTGCGAAAGATCGGGTAGCTGGGAAAAGGCTCTTCAGGTTCTGCTTCAGATGCCGGAAGCTGGTGTTCTGCCAGATGTTATAAGCTGCTTGCACTCGATTAAGTATCAGGACTTGTTGACAGTTCTAAGTCTAAGTACTCTCCCTGTATAAGCCTGCGTCTTGCATCGTCTTGTTATAAAGTGGACAAGCAAGGCTACAACTCTGCCATCAGCGCCCTGGAGCGAGGATCACAGCACCACTTGGCCTTAGAGATTCTCACGCAGATGCCTTCGGCAAGTGTCCTTCCAGACGTTATCAGTTACAATGCCACGATCGATGCCTGCGCAGGCCTGTCCTTTCCAGGGGACATGTACAGATTGACAGCTCCATCAGGGCACCTTTTTAACGGTCTGTCTATTGAAGACTCTATTGTCCAATAAAGCTCTATGAACCCGGAACCTACGACATTAACTAACGAACCTCGTAAACCCCACAAAGCCCTAAGCCGCAGGCAGCGGAGATTGGCAGCAGGTGCTGGAGTTGTTTCGAGACATGTCCAAGGCCAGATAAGTAAGTAGGATAACCATAGTTAAAGCCCATATTAGGGGACATATAACCCTAATCATAACTACCCATGACCCTCCAAGTGGGATAAGGCCAGTGTTCCGGCGGACGTGATCACTTTCAATGCAGCGTCTCAGCTCTGCACTTTGCACCCTTTAAACTTCTTGCGAACCCGCATGAGCCAAAGCTTAGGGGTGCTTAGAAACATCTTTGAATTTTGATCCCTAAGAAACAGCTAGCATTATAATTGTTGCTAGGGTTCTTCAGTGAGATCTTTGTCCATCATCAGTTTTACGAACCTGGTCTCAGTGGTTTCATCGCGATCTAGAGTCCGACAATGTTCTTGAATCCTGGATTGTCCCTCGGGTCTTTTAGGGATTTCGCATCGTACCTTAAGGCTCCAAAGAGGGTCTTGGGCTTTCTGGGGGAGGGTTTCGGCTTTGGGGGCTAGGGTCCGGGATCTCACTACGAGGGTCCAGGATCCTCAGGGTAAATCCCCAAATCCATGGGCTTAATAGGACCCTGTTTACAAATATTTTTCAGAGGCTTTAAAGGGCCAACCTAGTTTAGGATTTCGCATCGTACTGCTCGCGTCCCTCTGCGAAGGCTTCCGAGTTGTTTCCCACCAGATCCCAAAGGACTCCAGTTACGAAGATAGCACCTAATTATAAAAGCCCCTAATGTAGAACCCTGCTATAGAATCCCCTTAAAGGAACCTTGTTCTAATTATGAAGGCCCCTACTTTACAGTAGTAGGTTACTAATCATATATGGGAGCTTCCGAAAATTACGGGTACCTCATTTTGGGGTCCCTATCATAAGGATCCTAGCATTTAGGGTATTATATTGGGGTCCCCTATTTGGGGAACCTCCCATATTATATATCCCAGTAACCTACTACATTAGAAGCCAGAAAGTTGGGACATCAATATCCTCATGGCCTCAAGAGTAAAGTATAGGGGATCCCAGCACTAATCATCCTAAATCCATGTTCCAACTTTCTGGGGTTCACTATCTATAGGTCACTGGAGCCCTACTTGGAGGGTCGGGGGACTTAGTAGGTAAGGTTATAAGTCCCCTAATTGGGGTTATAAGTATTTATAAGTATAGTTACCTTATTTATAACCCTAGTTACTAAGTCCCATGATCCTTTAAGTAGGGGATGTTCGAGCTCTGGTTTCGAGGGCGTCAGTCTCATGCCTTTCGCTGGGGATCACGCTGCGCTGACCCGATGTGCTTTGTGCTTTAAACTTCCTGGGAACCCTAAACCCTGACCCTGCATAATATAATTATAGGGGCCTTAAGAATCAGAATAGGGTTTTAGGGCCCACTATACTATAATTATCATCAGGAACCCCCAAAATAGTATAGGTCATTGTCCCTTTATTACATATATCCCTCAAATATAAGGCTCCCAGTCGGAGCCCTAAGCAAACCTTAAAACTCTACGCCCTAAAGCCCAAAACCCTGAGCCCTCAAGCCCTAAACTCAGAAACCCTAACCCTGAGGGTCCATGTACCCAAATAATTAGTATATACTTTGGGCCCGATGTACCCATATAAGGAGTACTTTAAGGCCAATGTGTATACTAAATAGGTACATGGACCCTTAGGGTAAACCTCAAGTCCTCAAAATCCCTCTAGTTGCTTCCGCGTGCAGCTTGCCGACCCAAGGCCGTTCAGAAGCAACATATACCCAGAAAGCCCAATACTCCTTAAACAAGGAATAGACTGTAAAGTATAGGGGCCTTAGCAATATGACTTGAGGGATATTCCCTCATTGAGGGACTCTTGGTTCTCTGGGAACCTAAATCCTATGAGGAACTCCAGAAAAAAAAAGCTTGACACGAAGCCTGAAGGAAAATCCTATGAGGAACTCCAGAAAGAAACTTGGCATGAGCCCTGGAAGGAAGCCAGAAGTGAAATCTGAAAGGAGCCTACTGTATGTATCCAGGTAACCTGACTCAAGGGAATTCCCCAGATGTTTCGTTTCGCGGCGGTGAGCCCTAACTAAGGACGAACTGTAGCCTAAAACGGTTTAAGATTCGATTATCACGCTAAGTACAAGAGTATAGGGCCTTAAGGCCCCAAAACCCTAGCCCTTAACACCCCAAATTCCCTATAGCACCCTTACAGAACCAAACTTCTGTTCGTGATTGCAAATACTGGGGTTCACTGGTACCTGAACCTGAAGGTTCAAGCAGAGCCAAACCCCAAATCCCTGATAGAACCCTTGACCCTGAACCCTGCAACCCGAAACCATTTAGAACCAAACGTAAGAGTCTAGGGCCCCAAAGCCCTAAAGCCTTAGCCCTTCACACCCCAAATCCCGTATTGCACCCTAAACCTCTTGAAGGAACTCCTACACCCTAAACCCCATAATCTCAAGAGCCCTAGAAAGGAGCACCGTTACAGAACCGGGACGCTGATACTTAAAGGATCATGGGACTTAGTAACTAGGGTTCTAAATAAGGTAACTATACTTATAACTACTTATAGCCCCAATTAGGGGACTTATAACCTTACTTACTAAGTCCCCTGATCCTCCAAGTAGACCCTAAACCCTAAACCCTATAGATCCCTTTAAGGAGCCCTTAAAGGAACCCTTACTAAGTCCCCTGATCCTCCAAGTAGAGCAAAGGCGTTGAGCGCCGTTGAGAAAGGAGGGGCATGGTCAATGGCACTGCAGCTCCTGGATGTTTTTAAGGGTTTGGGGATGAGGGTTTAGGATTCAACGTTTAGATATTGGTTTTTTTGGGGGGGGTTTAGGATTTAATGATTTAGGGGTTTAGGGTTTAGAGATTATAGGTTTATTGGGTGAACTAGGTAGGCCTTTGGGACATTTTATATTTTCCCTTATTGGGCTTAATAGGACCCTATTTACGAATACTTTTCAGAGGCTTTAAGGGGCCAACCTAGTTTAGTCAGCCTTGTCCTTTTTCATGGTTTCCCCAAAAGAATACACAGACCGGCTAGTAGACCTTCTTAAACAAGTCCTACTAAGGGATATAGGTATAGGGCTCTGTTTAGTCTTTCTAAAAGGACAAGGGTGTTTTTAGTAGGGTAGTTGTCAAAGTTCAACGGGGAAAAGGAGGGACCCTTAATGGGGACCCCTACTCTATAATGGGCTATGTAATGGGTTTATAATAGCTATATTAAGGGTATATGCCTAGGGGTCCTTATTAAGGGTCCCTCCTTTTACCCTTGGATTTTAGTAGGGTAGTTGTCAAAATTGTGGCCCTTAATCCTGGGCACCCTAAATATTAGGTGCCGTATTCCAATAAGGACCCAGAAAGGGGAACCATAGTTTTGACAACCAGCCAGTACTAGTAGGGATTGTTAGGGTCTAGGGTTAACTAGGACCTAGAGTAGGCCGTTATTGCCTTTTGAAGGGTTCAGGTTCCCTTCTAAGCCGCTTTTAATCCCCAAAAGGGGCACCCTTTTCATTCCCAGGTTGCTCTTGGGTCTAGTTTTGGTAGGGTTGATTAGGTCTCGGGTTAAGGTTGAACCCTAAACCCTAAACCCTAGATTCTGGGAGTTTGTACTCTTGGGTCTAGTTTCTCAGGGCCCACACCCTGTAATAGTGACTATAAGGATTATATTCGGGCCCTATTATATTCCTACTATACCTCTATTACAGGGTGGGGGCCCCTTCTAGGTTTAGGATTCTACCCTAAACCCTCGATTTTCGGAGTTTAGAGTTTGGGGTGTAGAGTCTCGGGTCAGCTCATGGGTTTCACTGGGGTTTTAAATTTTTTCAAGTATTCAGGATCCCAGAGACTCCAAAACCCCTTAATTAAGGAATATTCCTTAAATTATAGCAGGATCCCGAATATGATTTAAGGAATATTCCTTAATTAAGGGGTTTTGGAGTCTCTGGGATCTTTAGGGCGTGGTGCGTGTAAGACTATTTATTTGCCAAGTAGGCGCACTCTACCCTGAGGCCCCAAATTAGTTCCTTATTGGGGTTCGTATATAGAATCCGAAAAGGTAATCCCAAAAAGGAACTACTTTGGGGCCTATGGGTAGAGCCCAGGTTCTTTTCAGACATGGCAGCGGCGCGAGTTGCGAAGAACGCGATCAGCTTTAACTCCTGTATCAGTGCCTGTGGCAAAGGCCGGGGTGTGATCCATTGTATACAGCTTAGAGGGGGCCCACACCCTGTAATAGTGGTACAATAGGAATATAATAGGGCCCTAATTTAATCTTTATAGTCACTATTACAGGGTGGGGGCAGCTTCCAAAAAGGCAGCCTTTGATTACCCAACTAGGACCTAGAGTAGGCCCTTTTCCCGTTTTAAGGGTTCAGGTTCCCTTAGAAGCCCCTTAATCCAAAAAGGGCACCCTTTTTATTCCTAGGTTACTCTTGGAACTAGTTCTGCTAGGGTTGATTAGGTCTCGGGTTAAGGTTGAACCCTAGACCCTAGATTCTAGGAGTTTGTACTCTTGGGTGTAGTGAAGGGGGCCAGTGGAAACTGGCCTTCGAGCTGATGTCGCAGATGCAAGTGGCACAGGTGGGTGGTTGTCGAAATTACATCCCCCAGGGCTCCAGTGACCCAGAAAGTAGGTTACTGGGGTATTTAATATATGATTAGTAACCGACTATTTGGGTGGTTGTCAAAATTATGGCCCCTGTTTGGGTCCTTGTTATAATACGGCACCTAATAGGGTTGACCAAACAGGGGCCATAGATTTGACAACTACCCAGGTGAGAGCAGACATCATCAGCTACAGCTGCTCCTTCGCCCTGGTACCCTTTTGCGTTGGCTCCACAATTCGAAAAAACCTGGTTTTTGTGGGGTAGTATAAGGGCAGCTTAGGGCTAATAGGGTTTAGGGTTTAGGCGGGTTAGTTCTATGCGGGTTTGGTGGGGTAGTATAAGGGCTTTATGAGTTTTTACGTGGGTTTTACGAGCTTGCTTTAGACTTGAATGGAGTTTCAAGGAAGGGTCTTGTCTTATAGGGTTCAATTCAACTAGGGTGAGAGTATAGGGTTTACCCAGGTCACCCAGTATAAGGTTGTATAGTAGGAACAAAGGCTGCCTGTAGCTGAAAAGCATTGCTTGGTGAACCTAGTATATAGAACCCGTAGAATCTAGAACCTTTACGAACCTGTCAGAAATTCTATGAAGCTCGTATATACCCTGGAACAAGCGCTCAGAAAGCAGTATATGTGCAATCAAGCGCTTATGTCAAAACCATCGCTGTCGAACAACGATCAGGTAGCCAAATTTCAACCCTAACGGTCCAAGTGGTCCTTTTTTGTGGTTTCTGGTACCAAAAATGGACCCGACGTCCTACAATGCGGAGTATTTTGACCCTTAAGAAACCCTAAACCCAAATCCCGGTAAGACAAAGTCTTAAGATTAGGTACTGCCACCCACCACACAGTAAGAGTCTATAATAGGGATACTATTGAGGTCGTAATATATCTATCTTGTGAATATTATTCAGTTCTTACTGAGTGGGGGCCGTACCCAACCTTAAGACAAGGAAGGGGCCACATGTTTTTGGGGGGAACCCAGGTTCGGTCGTCAGCTGCTGTGAGGGCTCGGGTCTTTGGCAGTCTGCTCTCCGACTCCTCGCAGAGACTCGGGCCGAGGTAAGCCTTTGAGATGGTCTTGGGGTTTAGTGTTTTTTTTTGTTTTGTTTTTTTTTTCTGGTTTAGGGTTTATAGGTAGTTTATAGTTTCCCTTATTGGGCCTAGGAGGATTTATTGACGCACATTTTTCAGAGGCTTTCCGAGCCAACCCAGAGTCAATTTCAGGAATCGTTTAAGGATACTTCAAGGGCTCCTTTAGTAGTGGTTTAGGGTGTAGAGACGCTCTTTCGGCCTCCAAAACGGGCTTGGGGTCTGGGAGAAACTCTTTTGCTTTTTGTGGTTTTTGTCCCGTACCCTATCCAAAACCTTAAACCCTACAGTACCCTAAACCCTTGAACCCTAAACCCCCAAACCCCTAATCCCCTAAACCCTTAAACCCTTAAACCCTTAACCTTATGTTAAGCTCGGGGCCCAGGAGATGTTGCAGAACAAGGTCGGCGCAAGTCGAATCAGTCTCTTTGTAGCAGAGTCGGTAAGTTTTATACATTGGGTACGGCCCCCACCCAGTAACAGTTGGATAACATTCATAACATAGATATATAGGGCCCTTAATAGTAGCCCTATTATAGACTGTTACTGTATGGGGGCCGTACGCAAGTTTTACACTTTTTGCGAGCGATCAACCCTGAAATGTCTATCCTCATCTTGCGTCCTTAAGCAACCGAGCAGTTACCCAGGGGCCCCAAAGTAGTTCCTTTTTAGGTAGTATATTAAAGTCCCTAACCAAAAAAGAGGACACAACCAAAAAGGAACTACTTTGGGGCCCCTGGGTAAGGCTTCAATGCAGCTGCGAGTGCCTGCGAGAAGGCTTCGCGACTTGGTGCTGCAGATGGCAAGCTTGACGATGATTTCCTAGGATGCCCAGTAGTACCCTTATTCCCTTTTTGTAGTCCTAGGTTCCTTATAAAGTTACCCAATACCAAAAAGAGAGGCCTTTTTATTCTTAGGTTACTGGGTATCCTAGTTTCGAGGTGTTCATAGCCCTACGGGCCCTTAAATACAAATACTTTTGGGGATAGTGTTACCCACTATACAACTTAAAGTGTACACTTTTTGGGGCTTGTGGACTCTGCAACAAAGCTAAGAGCTTCCTTAAGGAGTCCTACATGGGCTGCTTTGCTTGGGCGACCGAGGCGATGGCAGATGTCCATCAAGCTGCTCACAGACATGCGGGAGACGGTCATCACACCGAACGTTGTCAGCTTCAGCACTGCCACTTAGCAGTTAGTGACTTAGATCCCCAATGCCTAACCTTTAAGCTTTTTGGGTTCTTATAGTTAGTAGGAGTTGGAAAGTTTAACCTTTCAATTCCATGTAAGGCCACTTAGCAGTTAGTGAGGATACTACAGCAGAAGCCAGAAAGTTGGAACATGATTATCTTCATGCCTCTAGGGTAAAGTATGAGGGATCCTAGCACCAATCCTCCTAAAGCCGTGTTCCATTCTACTGTAGATGGTAGAACGGTCAGGGTTTAGAGGCATTCGGATTCGGGGTCTAGACTGCTAGGACTTTCGGGTTTAGGGTACTTGGGTGTGGGGTTGATTTGGGGGTGCGGGCAGCACTCCACTGCAGTTACCCTAGTTGTGTGTAGGCCCTGCATTACCAATAGCATGCAGCCCAACAACCTTGGCCCTAGACACACAGGGTTTAGGGTTTACAGGAGATATAGGCCTTATTCCCGAATCCAAGCCCAAGAATCCTAAGACTCAGAGGGGGTTTAGGGCTTAGGGCGGGTTTTGGGGGTCCAAACTGCCTAAACCCTAAATCCGTAAACTGCAGCGGGGTAAGCTGCACGGTAGCGTTATCGGGCTCGTTCACACAAAGGGGTTGCCAACGTACTCTCTTCCCGTATCTCAGCAAACCAAGAGCGCAATCGCTCTGACGTCTTTTCAAGCACACAAAGCGCTCGCAGCTATGGCTTGTCAAAGGCTACCAAAAGAGGGGCCCCTCATGAGCCTGTACGGCCACAAGTACTGCTGCTGATCTCAAGACTCAAACAGCAACTGATCAATCCTGCTGCACCACCCCCAAAAGAAGTCAGCAGCAGACAGGTTCATATCAGACTCAGTCTGAGGGGCTTGGAGAAACTCTTGGACAGTTCCTACCGCAGATCTACCGGCTTTCTTGCTCTTCTTGGCAGAAGTGAACGAGGGATCATAGCGTATGCACCAGTATCCCGTTCTTAAGAACTTCAAAAGTCCTTCCCGGCAGTCAGCTCGCTTCTTGGTCAGAGCATCGGCTAAGTCGAAGTCGCTCGCCAGCCATCTCAACTCGCAAGCAGCACGCCGTAGATTGCCGCGAAGCTGGAAAGCTTGTAGTGCCGCCCTCATATTCGAGAGGCCCAACAGTGGAGACTCGTTGATCTCCACAGCATCATATCCACCCTTGCTGTCCGTGCAAAGGATGCCCTTGATCTTGGCGATCTGGTTCTCCAGGACGCTGATCATGTTGACTCGCAAGGGACGGTCAACATCCAATCCACCAGCACCGTGTAGCTCTGACCACAGGAGACGGGCTCTGAAGTTGTGGTCCTCGGCCTCTAGGATGGACTGAACCTCTGCATCGTTACTGCTTATGGCCTTTCGCTGTAGCTTCCATGTTCGCCAGCCGATCAGCGACATAGGGCAAACGCTTCCAGTCGTACTTTCTGGTCCCGCCAGAAGAGTCACCAGTCCACCCGTTGAATCGCCCTTTGGTCTGTTGGCATGAGCTTGGTCTCCCATCGAAATGAAGACCACATCACTCCAATGCTTGGCCTTGGGGAACTTCTGGAAGGTTAGGCAGAAGGGCTCCTGTCGGACCTCCGCTATGACCTGCTGAATCTCTTTCGCCGTCTCCATGGTGCCATTGGTAACCAGGTCGGTCAACAACAAATTGCACCGAGCACAAACTTGCGGTTGAGACTGCACAGCCACCCATTGAAGAGCTCCCAGTGAAGCTCTGCAGGCCTCCACATCAGCACGTGTGAGCGACGAAGATGACATTAACCGTTCCGGCTCGATGTCCACGTCCGTGAGTGCCTCGATGTAGTAGCTTTGGTCCACAACGATCTTCTTGTAGCCGTTGGAGTCAGTGGTAGTCGACACATCGGTGCCGGCGTGACGGTATGACCCTGTTTTGGTCATTCCCCATTTGTAGGCAGAGTTGATGCGTTCTCTGATTTCCAGCCACTCTGGAGATCCGTCGCCAATCCGATGAAAATCGTCCACATGTCCTCCCATGGCTCCGATGGTCTTTGGGTGGTCGCCGTCCATCACGGTTTTGGAGAGCCAAATCCACAAACATCTCTCGCCCAACACTGCTTGAGCACCAAGGTTAGTGAGCGTCTTGTGAAGCGAGAGCCACAGTCCCCTCGGAGCAGTAGTCGAACCATAAATGTTGCGTAACACCCGCATCACACTGTCAGCATCCAGCCCAAGAGCTTCACGAAGTTCATGAACCCCAGTGGTCCACAGCTCCTGGTCCGCTTCCGTGGGCTGTGTCTGCAGAAAAGCCGTCGCTAAGTCTAGGCCCTCCAGGTCCCATTGGGAATCGGCAGCCATGGCGTACAGCAAGTTGCGACCCAACATGGATTGCACCGGGCTAGCCGTCTTGAAGCTCGGGTCCAAAAGACTCGGGTGCTGGAAGCCAAGTAAGACGATCCGCGCCTTAGCTTTCTTGGTCCCGTCGGGTGTGTGGACGGACTTGTCGTTGGTCTTACTGTCCTGTATGGCTTCCTGTTGATCCTCAGGAGGTACTAGCTTCCACGTCAAAACCCAACGCGCCTTGACGATCCTTCCAGAATCAACTGCTTGGCGAAGTTCTGCATCGTCCATGCACTTCCGAACGGCCTCATTTTTAATGAAGGAGTCCACTTCCTTCATCTTCGCCCGGTGGAACAGGGTCTTGTCGCGTTCACTTAGACGTGACAGCACCACTTCTGAATCCTTCATCTTCTTGACCATGTACAACACCGGATTTCGTTCCAAGAGCTTCCGCTGCCGGTTCGAGCTTGGTGGTGGTAGATCAAACTCAACCTTCAGAAATTCAAGGGTCTCTTGGAAGGCTGTGAAGATATCGATGGTGTCCTTTGGCGCCGACTCCTCCATGTAGAGTTGGTCCACCCATGTAGGCTCGGTCCGAGGTCGCTTGGCCTCGGGGTCCTCGTAGTCATTGACTGGTTCCTCCAGTGGTCTGGTAGCTGTCGTTGCTCCACTCTCGCCAGGAGTAGATTCGGATGGTGAGGAGGTCGCAGCTGGTCTGGAAGTTGTGGGCGTCGTCGGTTCCACAGGAGGATAAGGAGACACGATCGCCTTCTTTCCGGTCACCCGACGCGTAGGCTGCACCATGGTGCTTTTGTCGGGATACCAAGGAAGATTTGGTACCTCAACCTCGGTCTCCTCAGGTTCCTGATCGGTCAGGTCCACGTACTCACGGTTGGGGACAATGTCGGCGAGCGTCTTCCAGGTAGACGACCGATCCTCGCCAGACGTCTCGTACTGAAACTTCTCAGTCTCTGTCACTGGACGAACTGAATGTACTGAGCACCTGAACATTTGAGATCCAATCAGGACCCAAACAATGTGACGTCTTTGGTCGTCACCCTCCTGATGTGGTAATACTTCATGAAAGACAACTCGCCCAGGACCTATCCAGTGTGGTCTGCCCGATTTTCGAAACCCTCCTCGAGGTCCCTTGAACTGTTGTTGAGGCCATACCTTGCGCCACACCTTCACCAGTTCCATGGGACCAAATTCACGTAGAGGTTGTCGCACAGTCGTGTTGGCCAGCTTGGACAGGACACGCTTGGCCCGTGTGGCCTTAGCCACTTCCTCGGCCTTTGCTCTCGCCTGGACCAATTTCACGAACTCGCCTTGGTAGTCGGAGGTCGCGAAGGTTCGCACATCCTCATCGGTCAATGAGTATTCACGACCAAAAGCCCATTGAAAGGATGAAAAGCCTCCAGTGTACTCCGTGGCGTTGAGTGACGAAGCTGCTAAGGTCAAGGTAAGCGAAGGTTCCATATCCAGGTTTTCCAGGTGAATGGCCGACGCTGTCATCTTGATGTCCTGGACTCCAGCTTCCAGTGTACCGTGTGACCAAGCTTCCTTCTCAGCCACGTAAGATACTTGGATGTTCACATGGCTCGCAAACTCGTGAACCGCGTCCGAAACAAAGCTTTTAGCAGCATCCAGAATCAGCAGCCTCGGCTTGGGAAAGCAGCTTAGCCATCCTTCCGTGAACCCTTGGATGAGGTTCTCGCCAGACTCGGATCTCATCTCCAGGAAGTCATAGGTGAAGAGGGGTTTGACCACTCTCAACTTTGTGGTAAGGTCCATGAAGAGGAGAAACTTCACTTTCTTCTTGCTGCCCGGAGGTACCCACTCAGCTGAGTCCACACCAACAGCTTCCCATGCACCATACAAGGAGTGCGTAGACGCTGGAGGTATTTGTCCAGAGCTGGTGCCCCCTTGCTTCAAGCTCTGGCATGCCGGACAATGATGTTGTAGTGCAGCACGTACCTTCCATTCCGGATGTCCAGCGTCCTTCACAATTCTCGACAAGTTGCGATTGGTGGGATGCCCTGCCGCCTTGTGGAACTTAGCAATCTGAGCCTCCCATTTGGCGCGTTCCTGGTCTGATGGCTCAGACATCTCGCCTTCCACAGGTTGTTTGTCCGAGGTCGTGGTAGTCGATGAGGTGGTCACTGCAGGAAAGGCTTCATTGTTGCGCGGAATTTTCACAAAGTCCTTGTCCACGTCGACTCGCTGTGGTAGTGGAAAGCCCAGGGCCTTGAGACTCTGCTGGTCTTCTTTGGTCATTGACGAAGTCAATCTGGTAGTGTATGCGGTTATTGTGAGTCGTTGTCCTCGCCAGGCCTGGGTAGCATGAACGGTTTCAGGGGAGAACATCACAAAGTCGTGTTTGATAGAGACCACATACCCCTTTCTCAAGTGTCCATCAGGGCATTGCCGGCGAACTGTTGGGTAACCAGGTGGAGGTTCTCCTTGTAGCCAGATGCCACCCTCCTCGTAGGGACCCAAACCGTGGATCACATTGACGGTGCCCTTGCAGTTGTGGTAATCCTTGTGAGGCCAGGTCTTGCCATTGAGGGACACGGAGATGCTAGACCAGCTCTGCTGCGGTAGCCAATGTCGAAGATAGTAGTTTATGTAGTGGTTCAGTTCCGGATAGCGTAGTGAGTTTCGAGAAACTCCAGAAAAGGCTCTGTGGGAGTAAGCTCCCAGTAAGATGTGAAAGGATGACCGTTGCCATCGAGAATGAGGTTTCGTCTCGAGGTAGGTCTGCTTCATTTGCATGGCATACTCCAGGAGGATGTTCTCGCAGGTGTTCATGTCAAATCGTTGTCGTAGGCGAGCTTCTCGGCACATTGCCTCCATGCTGAGCCTGCTCGACTCCACCATCTGCACGTTGTTGTAGTCCTCATCCTCCCCTGTCGGGGTGGTTCCGTCGTGCTCCTCGAGCACGTGGTTCAGGCGTACCTCGCCCGATGATCCATCACCCGGTGGTAGTTCATCACGTTGTTGAAGTAGTCGAACATGTCGATGTGGAGCTGTCCGTTCTTGCCAGTGCCGAGTGATCGCCTCCACCAATTTCCATGGGTAGTAGGCATTGGCGTCGTTCTCATGACCTTCTCGGCCGTAGTGTCCACCATGATTTCCAGGACATATCTTGGCTCGAAACTGGTGGTGGAAGGACTCATCCGTGGTTCGAATGAGCCAGGGCTTCTTGATGAACTGGCCGCTGTCGTAGTCTCGCAAACCGTAGTTGCAACCATCCACACGGCAAGGAAGCCAGGGAACACCTTGTTCACTCATGTGATCTTGCAAGTCGATCATGGCCTGTTGTTTCCATCCACCGGACGGATGGGGCCATTCAAAGTACACATCGACCTCACTGTCCTCTTCCAGCGCTTCCTTGATGAACTGATTTGCTTCCCACAGTAGTCGACGCTCGCGTCGCCTGCCATTTTCCAACTTTCCAGCCTTCTCGGTTGTGTTGTAGTTGGCAGAGGACCAAGCCGACCACTTAGAGCTCGGAAGACTAAACCATAGACGCCGAGGGCGATGTTGTCGTCGAAGTTCTCGTAGTTGGCTCCATGTTTCCCGCTGGTACAAGTCATAGCCGGTGGTGTAGTTGATCTTGCGGGGCCTTAATCCATGATCCTCGGCTGCCGTGCTTAGCCAGCTATGCGGGGCACCGGAGATCTCCCACAGCCCATCTCGTTCATGTAGTTGAAGTCCAACGAGAAGCTCCATGGTCGTCGCCACCATCAGCGCCGACATAGCCATCACCTTCTTGCCCACGTAGTGCGTGATGTGGTTGTCGCTTCCTCCGGCGACCTTGTCATTCATGCGTAGCCGCCGGTCGCTTCCTGCTCGTAGGCATGAACCAGCTCCTCGTCGTCGTCGGGCACCGCCACCTCCCAGCTTGCTGTCGTGGTCGCCGGCGAGGTGTTGTGTCCCGCCATCACTGGAGTCGAGGATGATGCCATGTTCTTCACGTCCCGGATCGCGCGATTGAGGACCTCCTCGGCATTGATCTTTGCCAGCATGTGCCTGCAGATCTGGGCTGTCGGCAGGGTGTTGCCCATAAGTGGTCGCAGCTCCCGCAGCATGCGAAGGATCATCGCAGGGTTCTCCACCGTGGTGTGCTGAGAGCTGGAGCCCTGCCTCGGTGTGTACAGCAACCGGATGTTGCACGTTGAGCATACCACCCACTCCCCGTGGGCATTGGCCTGAGGAGCACTGGGAGTGTGTTGGCCCATACAAGGCCATTGGTTCTGCTTGGCCCTCGGATCTCTCACGTCCATCTTCATCACTCGGGAGCGGTCGAGGGGCTTCGCCTTCGACTTTGCGGACGTGGCCTTGGCCTTCAAGGAGGCCACCAGGATTTGCTCCACCTCGGGGTCCACCTTGGTCGCTTGCGCCGGGGTCGCCATGTAGAGCGAAGGAGCTTGGAGAGGAAGTTGTCGGGGTTTGGGGGGCAGATTGCCCGCACCGCATCTGAGCTGAGATCGCTGCTGACATGTCGCGGGAGTGGTTGTACAGCTGCCACATGCGATCTCTGACTTGTGCTTCGGAACGCTCACTCAGATCTCTGTCACTGGCATTCAGATCAAACCAGACAACTCCTAAATCAAGACATGCGCTCGCACTGCAAGAAGGCTTCGAGGCAGTTGATGACCGCACAATCACATGTGGTTGTCCTTCAAGACACTTGGCTCCCTTAGTTAGGTAGTTCACAATGTCCAGAATGTAGTGTCCCTTGTGGTTCACATCAAGCTTGAAGATTTGAGGGCTGTTGTCATTTGTGAACATAGCATGGCCACTTGCAAAGTCAACCATCAATCCTGCACCGCTACGACCCATGAAGTCCATACCAATCAACATCGGAACCAAGGAAGAATGATCGAACCCTGACTGGTAGTACTCCGAAGGATTGGGCAACGTATAGACAGAGAAGGAACGATGGGATCCAGATAATGAGCTCGAGATATGAACCTGACAAAGTGCCCGACCCCATCGCCCGTTGCCAAACCGAAAGTATGGCCGCGCTCCTTGGTCCAGTTCGATCTTGGCGTTGCGATCGTGAGACAGGATTGTAGAAATCAATCCTTGAACAACGGCGTCAGGAGCAGCAGACGCTGTAGCTCCACTGTCCAACATGCCGACATGAGGCTTGGATACAGGCTTCTGAATTTCCGAAGCCGCGACTTCAAGAACATCGGTGAGCTCCAGTCCACCAACGAACATGTCCGTAGCATAGGCATTGACAGACCTGTGACCAGGATCCTTGCCTTTGGGGTTCTTGCTCTTGCCCTTGCCCTTCCACATGGCCTGCAAGTGCATGTCCGTCCAGTAGCCCTTTTTGCCCTTGCCCTTGCTTTTTCCTTTCTGCGTGTAGTTCAAGTCCCAGGTGTCGTGGTAGTAGGCGTCCGGTTCCATGAAGTAGCCGCCCTTGCCGCCGTAGGATTTCCCCTTGAAGCCTCCGGAGAAGCGTCTCTGAGGGCAGTCTCGAACCATGTGGTTGCCTCCGCAGTTGAAGCACTTGGTAGGACCCCCGAAGCCTCGATCCTTCCGCAACGCCTGTGTAGCGCGTTGCGCCTCCGTCCATGTGCGTTGTGCCTCCACTGCCAAACTCTCGGCTATGGCTTCTGCCTTCTGAGCCTCCTTCAGCTTGGGGTCCTCGTCGTCAGGCGGCTCAGCCACTGCAGGCAGGGCCTCGGGCTCCCATGAACGGGGATCGCCGCCCCAGCCATCAGAGTCCTCCCAGGAGTGGTCACCCAGGAAGTAGTTGTCATGCCAACCCTGATCCTGCCACCACCAATCATCTTGCTCCTGGTAGTAGCCATCGTACTGCGGGTAGGTGTGGTCCTCCGTCATGCCTTCCATCACGTTCATGTGCATAGAACCATGATGTCCACGATGACCCAGCAACTGGTCATCCCACAAGTTCTGTAACGCAGCCGATATGACCTCGTAATCCAAGGAGTTCTTGGTGGCCGACAAGATATCCCTCTTCTCCTCGGCGGAAAGTCCAGCAGCTTGCAATAGCCGCCAGCCTCTAAGCACTCCCATGATGAAGGAATCGGTGACTGACAGCTCGTTGACCACTGGCTTGGGAACCTCAGCGGAAGACTGAGGCACAGCGGTTTTCCTCGAAGGTGAGCGAGCGGGCGTGTCTCCAGGAGCCGATCGGTGGCTCGGCGAAGAGCCAGGGGCAGCTCCAGAAGGGGAGGCCTCTCCGTCATCACGAGGTACAGGTACTCCCGATCCATCTGCCTCAGGTGGTCCTGAATCAGCGGGAGGATGGTCTTCGCCACCCTCGTCCTCGTACTCGTAGTCCGCGTCATAGTCCCACCAGCTCCACGATCCGCTCCACTCGCCTTCTCCCCATTCTTCTTCATCTTCCGGAAGACCAAAATCTCTCTGGTCCTGGGTCACTCCCTCCTTTTCTTCGTACAGGCGGATAATTGCCTCCACAAACTCCTCGTGAACTAGCGTTTCCCGGACCAGAAAGTTCCCTATCGTCTCCATCTGGTTCCTCTTGAACGAGAAATACTGTTGACAAATCGCCGCCGCATTGGGGAGGGACTTCCTGACCAATGGCGAAGTCGCCAAACGGGTCAGGAGAACTCGCACACCATCCTTGGAGTCCAGCACAAGCGTAGACCAGCTCATAGCCAGCAATCTCGCGGGACCGGTCAGCCTGCCAAGCAGCTGAGCCCCGCAGTACCGGCGCTTGTACACTGGCACAGACTGTACCCACCATGCTACTTCACGAGTGTAACGTCTCCACGACCGGGCAGCACCATCCCATGAAGGCACCGCCGTCCGCTCCTTGGAGTCAGCCATCGAAGAGTTGGGCAGAGTTCTGCCGAAAACCAAAACACGGAGAAAACCACCAAGTGAAATTCACGTGGGGGCGGTCGATGATCAGGTAGGCAAAGGACAAGTCGAGGGATCACAGACCTTCGTTGGCTTTGGAGCACGGCCCTGCGGATCGGCACGTGCTCCGCTACCAATGCAGCGGGGTAAGCTGCACGGTAGCGTTATCGGGCTCGTTCACACAAAGGGGTTGCCAACGTACTCTCTTCCCGTATCTCAGCAAACCAAGAGCGCAATCGCTCTGACGTCTTTTCAAGCACACAAAGCGCTCGCAGCTATGGCTTGTCAAAGGCTACCAAAAGAGGGGCCCCTCATGAGCCTGTACGGCCACAAGTACTGCTGCTGATCTCAAGACTCAAACAGCAACTGATCAATCCTGCTGCATAAACCCTAAACCAAGGCCATCAGCGCTTGTGCCAGGGATGCCGCGTGGCAGATGGCAGTGCATCTCCTTCACAGGATGGCGACAGCAGAGGTGGGAGCAGTCCCAGAGATAGTTGGGTGGTTGTCAAAATTAGGGTCCCTTTTGGGGTCCTTCTTATTTTAATTACGGCACCTTATATCTAAGGTGCCCAAAAAGGGGACCATAATTTTGACAACCACCCAGTTAGTGGATTATTGATGATGGTGTGTTTTTAATGTTTCAGGGGTTCATTGGGTGGGAGGAGGAGTATTGACGACCGGAGTCTTATACTGTTTCTGGAAGGTTTTTTTTGGATTTCACCAGGTTTACAAGTGGGTTTATTACAGCGTACGTAACATAGGAGCCTTAGTAATAACTTATTTTTTTGTTTTTTTTTTTGGGGAGGTGTCCTTGTTATAATTAAGGTATGATGGACCCCAAACCCGATTCTAATTATTACGGCCCCTATACGATGCGATCTTTTGAATGTTTTGGAAAGGGCAGTTTACCAGTTTAGCATAAGGGGCTGCATTCCAGATGCCCGAGAAATGCGTATCCTTATGCCCTTGTTATGGTTTTGGGGGCTCTGCTAACGTGTTATAGTTACTACCCATATTACTTAAGGGGATGCTGGAACAGCACAGGCGAAACGGCTTTGGGCATTTCATCCCGGAGCCTTCAACCACAACAGTCCCAGGACGCTAGAGAAACCCTATCAAGACCATCCATATGGGAGTTTGCAAAAATAGGGGAGGCTAACATAGTACCCTCAATAGTAGGATCCTTTATGATAAGGACCCCAAAATAAGGTACCCCTATTTTCGGAAACTCCCATATTTCCCAAGCCCGAAACCTAAAATGATCCAAAACCCTACAACCTCCAAGCCCCGAAGGTTCTGGCGAACGTCATCACTTTCACCGCTGCAGCCAAGGCCTGTGAGCTTGGAGGGCGCTACGAGTTGGGACTGGAGCTGCTTTCTCGCATGTCAGCCTTGCTTGATATCCTGTAGGTTAATTCACACAGGGGCCTGAATGATTCAGTCAGAATTCGAGCCTCATTATCACGAACCATAGCGGGGATAGCATCACTCATTATTCTGGCCCTGGTACTGCATGTACAGACTTTGCACGCTGCAAGAGGGCCAGGTTCCTCTATTGTTTGAAGATGATTTGTGCAATCTTGATACCGTGTTTACTTGCCGTGGCTGCTGGAGAAACGGTTGGGGGTTGCCGAACATTAGGGAAACCCTATTTGGGCGGTCCTTATGAAAAGGATCCTACTATTTGGGGACTCTCTTGGGGTCCTCTATTTTCGGAACCCCCCCCCCCCCCCCACAGGTTTTGCATTTTCTGTGTGTTCTCCGCACCTGACATCGTTTCTCAAGGCTTTAGGCTTTAAGGTTTCTGCACATAAGCCTAAGCATATTGAAGGGATATGCCTACCTTGTTGGGCTTCATTATGGGGTTTTGCTTCTGTGCTTTTTGTTGCCCTAGTTTACAGGGAACTCCAGAAAGTTGGAATATGGATTAATGGTAGGATCCCCTATAATTTACCTTAAAGGGGTTAGGATCCTCATAATCCAACTTTCTGGCTTCTACTGTAGTTTAGGGTTGTCGATCCCTTGAGCAAACTATTCTTGGAGCCTTTCTGTCCTAGACCCTCGAAGCTCACACCTACTTGGAGGATCAGGGGACCTAGTAACTGGTTATTTTGTAGAGTTATAAGTACCATAACCCCAATTAGGGTCCCTTTTAGGGTACTTATAAATCTACTTACTACCTACTTACTAAGTCCTCCGACCCTCCAAGTACCGGGACCCCCAAAGTGCAGTCAATAGCATCCTTTTTTAATCTCGACAAACTCAGACCGTAATGCACTCCGAATTCCTTTCCCATTTCCGTAGGACACAGAAAATATGTGCGTTTAAGGATTGCTTGGGCTTGGCAGGGAGGAGTCTTTGAACCGGCATTCTGGTATTTTGGCTACACCAACTGAAATTGAAACCCTCCGCCCTAAACCCTTGAGTCCCAAACCCCAAAGCCGTACGCTATAGAGCCGTACTGCTCTAAGCCAAAAAGCCCTATAAACCCTACCTTAAGCTGCCACAACCTATACCTTGTGGTTCGTACGGATTTTGCTGGGGGCCCTACATGAACTAGGCCTTGGTAGGCTAAGGTACGGAAAGCCCTCCTGTCCCCAACCCTAACCCTAAGGCTCAAAATAGCCCAAAAGCCTTATATAGTATGGTCTTTGGGCCCAAAAGCCTTAAAATATGAGTCCTTAGAGCCTAAGGGTAAGCCTTGAAGCCCCAAATCCGAAACCGCAAGGCCCTCAAGCTCCACAGCCTGCACCCTAAACCCGAACCCTTAAACCCCTAAACTAAACTTTAAACCCTGAGCCCAGAACCCTTAAACCCCTAAACTCAACTTTAAACCCTTAAACCCTTAAACCTTAAACCCCTAAACTAAACCCTAATCCCCCAAAACATTAAGCTAAGCCCCCAGGGCCCTAAACCCTAAACCCGAAGCACCCCTGAGCCCCACCAGCCCCTAGACTCATAGGAGGCCAAAAGGGGTTTTAGCCTATGGGGGTTTAGTAGGGAATTAGGGTTCCCATAATAGGGTTCATATTAAGGAATCCCTACCCCAAGAATCTTAAACCCCCCCTTTTGGCCTCCCATCATAGACCCTCAGCCCGTACGCCCTTCCACTCCAAAGCCCTCCTGTTGATGATATAAATCTTTGGGGTGCATTAGGGTAGTTTATAAGGGCGAGATGTACCCTAAGAGGGTTTTGGGCTCAAAAACCACAATAGGGTTCTATAGTACGGCTGATGATCTAAATCCTGCATGGTATATACTCCTTATTATTATGGGTCATGCAGGATTTGTATCATCAACCGTCTATCTCAACCCTCTAGAAATCCTTAAATCCATAAACCAGCAATCCTTAAATAGCTTTGAACCCCATAACCGTAAGCCTTTGAAACTCCAACTCCCTAAACCCCTTAGATATCCTTAGATAGATAGGTAGAATAATGTAGAAATCCCTAAATCCCTTAGATAGATAGATAGATAGATCGAATCGTGTAGAAACCCCTTTTTAATTAGATAGATAGATAGGTAGATAGGTAGAGTAATATAGAAATCCAGCGAGGGCTATGGGTCTAGAGGACAGTTGCATTTCGCACGTGGCTCGCAGTGGCGCTGTATCCCATAGATGATGCCATGTGTACCATCTGCTGAAGGATGCAGCCTACTGACGCAGCATTGGACTCTGTAACCGGAAGACCACTTGGAGGCTCAAGGGACTTAGAGAGACGATTGTCGGCAGAGTTGTAGGTATACTTATCTGGGGCTCTCTTTACTAAACCCTGTAGGGCAGGGGTCGGTATAATTAATAGTTGTACACTGAGGTATGTATGATGTCCCACCAATTCTAGTCTATTCATTCAATCGCTTCTATTAACCACATAGTCTACTTAGTCCAGCGCGCGCCTGCAATCCCTAAACCCTGATCCTACACCCTAAACCCCTAAACTCTAAGCTCCTAAACCCTAAACCCCTAGACTCCAAACTCCTAAGCCCGATAAATCCCTAAGCATCCTTGGGCTCGAAGCTCCTAAGCAGTAAACCGAAGCCCAAAGCAGGACGCAGCCCTATAGGACGCAGCCCCATCCCCGTCAGTCGCTGGACCCTGGCCTGTGGCTGTCTGGAGAACTTGTCGACAAAGCACGTCCCGCTGAGTATCTTTGACATAGGTGCTGCCACTTTGCCGAAAGTCTCCATGATAATTCGTTCCTTTTTTGGCGCAGCCAACATTATAGCTTCTGATTTTGTTAAGGCCAGGAGCTACGAGGAGGACTAGAGGTCCAACATCAACTTTTGTTTTTGTTCCGGGTTCCTGCGGCTCTGAAAGTGTTTTTTTTGAGTGGTCCTTGGTATTGAGGCTTAAAACTCACCTTTAGGCTTCTATTGAGAAAGCATATCCCGCAAATCATCCCAAAGGCGCGTGAGCACAACATAGCTTCTGTTCTTCCTATGACTATAGTAGCAGCGCGAAAGCCTACAAGCCTTCAGCCCCGAAGCCCTGAGTTTTGGGGACACAAGGTCATAAGCAGTTGTGAGAAGGCAAACTCTTGGCAAGTGGCATTTCGAGTTCTGGCGAGCGTCCCAAAGCAACGGCTTGATGTCAATGCCGCAGCTTGGATTAAGGCTTTGTTTCAAGTTTGTGTAATATAGAAGCCCAAATAGTTACCAAGATCATTCCTTAGGGTTCCTTATTCTCAGCACACCATAAAGGTGCCCAAGCCTATTCGAGTTATTAAGGCCCGTACATTAACCCTTAGGCTTTAAGGACTCACATTTTAAGGCTTTTGGGCCCCAAGACCATACTATATAAGGCTTTTGGGCTATTTTGAGCCTCAGGGTATGGGTGTGTGTCAAGTCTGTGTAGGCAGTGTTGTGTCTTACCGGTCTGTTGTGCTAGGGCTGGGTTCGGCTTTTCGGTTGCTCGCTGCGCTGCACCATCCTCTTTGCCCATACACAACTCATAATGAAACGGAGTAGTAGGAAAAAAAGGAACCCTAGTAGTATTAAATTAAGGGGGCTACTGGGGAACCTTGACACAGCAAGTGAAGGTGATGCTGAACTCTTCTGCAACTGGGGCCATGAAAGGCAGGGAATGGCAGGCAGCACTGTCGCTGTTCGGCCACATGCCCGTCATCAGAGTTGCCACAGATGTCATCAGCTTCAATGCGACTATATCTGCGTACGATACTGGGATCTGCAGTCCCCTACTTTCTTTCATGTGTGCTTGCCATTCTTGACTGTAGCTTGTTCCTGTTCCTGTTTTGCCCCTAAACCCTACCCCCGAACTCCTAAACTAAACCTCGAAAGCCCTAGACTCCAAATTCCTGGACCTCTAAAGCCCTAAAGCCCTATCCTCCAAATTCCTAAACCCTAAACCCCTAAAGCCCTAAACTCCAAATTGCTGAACCCCCAAAGCCCTGAACTCCAAATTCCTAAACCCTAAACCCCTAAAGCCCTAAACTCCAAATTGCTAAACCCTTAAAGCCCTAAACTCCAAATTCCTAAACCCTTAAACCCCTAAAGCCCTAAACTCCAAATTCCTAAACCCCTAAAGCCCCAAAGTCCCAAACTCCTAAACCCTAAAGCCCCAAAACTCCAAATTCCTAAACCTTAAAGCCATATACCCCAAATTCCTAAACCCTAAAGCCCCAGAGCCCCAAACTCCTAAACCCTAAATCCCTAAACTCCTAAACCCTAAACCCCTAAAGCCCCAAACTCCACATTCCTAAACCCTAAACCCCTAAAACCACAGACCCCAAATTTCTAAACCTAGGTTCCTGTGTAGTGCCCTTTTGCCCTTTTAAGTTTAGGGTCCCCTTATTAAAACCGAATAGTAGGAATAGCCATAGTATAAAGGGGTTACTCAGAAACCTAGAAACCGATATTTCTTTAAATACGTCCCTAAAAAGGTAGGTTATTTGGGGCTAAGGTAAACCCTTAACCCCTAAAGCCCTATATACTATACCCCAAATTTCTAAACCCTAAACCCTAAACCCTAAACCCTAAACCCCTAAAGCACCAAACTCCACATTCCTAAACCCTAAACCCCTAAAGCCATAGATTTTTCTAAACCCTAAACCCCAGGCTCTCGCACCCGCCTGACCTTAAGCCCTTCAGCCCGAGTCCCCACCAGCCCCACAAACCCAGAACCCACGTCATAGTTGGGTGACACCTCAACTCATATGGGAGTTTCCGAAAATTAGGGTTTAGGGTAGTTGGAAACTCATATTCTTAGTAGGTGAGTGGATACACTTTACACTTTTTGGGGATAGTGTTACCCACTCTAAAGCTAAAAGTGTACAATTTTAGGGCTTGTGAACTCAGCAACGAAGCTATGGGAGTTTCCGAAAATTAGGGGGTACTCTATTTGGGGGTCCTTATAATCAGGATCCGACTGCTCAGGGTACTATGTTTGGGTCCCCTATTTTCGGAGACTCCCATATTTTAGGGGCGCTTATAAGCCCAAGATGGAACAGAAGTTAAAACTCTTAATGCCTTCCCGCGCATGGACTAGTGATGAGAAAGGGCGTAAATTTTCTACCTTCACCTACCGGAACCTACTCTTTTTGGTAGGGGTGCCTCTAAACTCAATATTGGGATGTATACTTAGAACCCACGAAGGGTTGGTTATGGTGGCTTCAGGTACGCCGGAAGTCCTCATCCTTACGTATGGACCTTTACCTAGTCGTAGAGTAGGTAACCGTAATAGAGTCCCTATGTAATCCCCGTATAACCAAAAAGGTTAACCTTTAGTTCCCCGTGATACCCGACAAGTAGGTTTAACCAGAACACCTCTGAAGAACCCTGGACAAGGCCCTAACCTGGCGCTTGAAGAAATAGTATTTGGGTAGCTGTGCAAATTTTAGGTCCCCAAAATCGTACGGCACCCGTGTAAATGGACACAACAAGAACCCTAATTTGGACAACTCGAACACTAGTTTAGCCTAGGACTTAGAGTAGGCAATTATTCCCTTTTTAAAGGTACAGGCTCCCTTAAAAGCCCCTTTAAACCAAAAAGAGCATCCTTGTTATTCCTAGGTTATCTGTTGGGTCTCGTAGTGCTTCAGGCTTCTAACCCAAAGCCTAAGCCCAAAACCTTAACCCAGTGTAGTGGTCCGGTTGGGAGCCGTGTTTTGGGTTTAGGGTTTAGGGCATGGCAGACAGACAAAGAAGGACGTTAAAACAAACTTAATCAAACTCTACACTGTCGACCTCTTGGGCTAGCAACCAAGGATAAGGAAGGACAGTGGAGATCAGCCCTGCGTTTATTCTCAGACATGCAAAGGACCAGCTCGGCGGCAGATGTGATCAGCTTTAACGCAACCATGAGTGCCTGTTATATTGAATAAGGGGTTTAGGGTCACGGCTCGTTTCCATAATGCTTCTCATTGCACTCCAGCTTATTGTGTAAGGTACCCGAAAGCCTTGTTCCAATTATCAACGCTTTATTACGCACCCTGGTAGCACCATCCCAAGACCTTAAATTTACTAAGCGCGCCTTATTCTAACTATATACTGCTGCTCTTATATGAAGGCTCTATTACGAACCTTCATAGCGCCATTTCAAAACCCTAAACGAGCATTACTCTAATTACTACGGCCCCTTTATTAGGTGCGTGCGCCAGACCTGGCCTTTGGCAGCTTGCGCATCATCTGCTGTCAGAGATGCCACGGGTCCGGCTTGCAGCAACAGTGGTGAGCTTCAGCACAGTGGTCAGTGCGTGTGAGTCAAGCGGGCAGTGGCAGATGACTCTGGACTTGATCTCAGACATGCAAACAGCTGCGATCCTCTGCAATGTGATCACTCTGAACTCAGCGATTAGTACTTGCGAGAAGGCTGGACAATGGCAGGTGGCACTTGATCTTTTGCATTCATCTAGCCTGAAGATTTCCGCAAACGTGATTACATTTAATGCAGCCATGAGCGCATGCCAAAAAGGGGGACAGTGGCAGCTGGTATTGGAGCTTCTCACCGCGATGTCAAGAGGAGGTCTGTCTGCAGACGTGATTACTTTCAGTGCTGCCATCAGTGCATGTGAACCTTATGGCTTGTGGGAGCAAGTTCTGCGACTCCACGCTGAGATGGCCAGAAGTCAAGTGGTGCCAAACCGGATCACTTACAGTGCCTTAGATCCCCAATGCCGCAATTTTATAACATTTAAACTTTTTGGGTTCTTATAGTTTAGTAGGAATCGGAAAGCTTAACCTTTCAATTCCATGGCTTATTGGTGTAGTAAGGTGCTAGCATCAGCGCCTGCCGGGCAGGGAACTGGCAACTGGCTCTTGGCTTCTTCGCGACGATGCAAGCGCGAGGGTTGGAAGCGGACGTTTCTGAGTTTCAAGGAACATATATGGGTGGTTGTCAACATTGGGGTCCCTTTTTGGGTCCCTATTCTAGCACGGCACCTATTATTCAGGATACCCAAAAAGGGACCCCAAGTTTGACAACCACCAATATGTCAAGTTAGTTACGCCACATGTCTTATTTACGCACGTATCTTAGTCGCTATGCATCTTGTTTCGATCGGCATGAAGTACCACGTTCCCTTATCCGAATCCTCCTACGACCTAAGTTTAATATACAGCAGGAAGTAGGAAAGAATTGCTCTTGTGATTTGGGGAAGTATGGGAAGTACATTAATATGTCCCTAATAACAGAACCTATAAACCCTAAGTTACTTGAGAAGAACCGAGGTTATCAGCTTCAATGCTGCGATTAGTGCCTGCGAGGAGGCTGCACAGTGGCAGCTGGCTCATCACCTGCTTTCGGAAATGCAGACAGCCAGGGTGGCCGTGAACGTGAGAAGTTTTTAGCAGCTGAATGCGTACACTTTATGCGTTTTGGGATTGTACGGTTCCCGAACTGAAAGCTTAATTGAAACCCAAGTAACCTACTTTTTTGAGGACTCATATAAAGAAATCATATTAGGGAACCCTAAAAAGGCAGGTTCCTTAGTGTCCCGGTAAACTTGATGGAGCTTGTGAGCTCAGCAACTAAGGTTTCAACACGACCATAAGTGCCTGCGAAAAGGCAGGGAACTGGGAGCTCGCCCTTGAACTCCTCTCAGAGATGAGGGATTTCAGAGTAACTGGGCTTCTCTTATGTTCTAATTGCAATAGGAACTAAAAGGAGCCATTATGATTTAAGGGAATTATGTGTTTTCTCCCTGGTTGCTTCAAAGCACAGGATTTGAGAGTAACAGCTGATGAGATCAGCTTCAATGCGACGATCACCGCCGTAGCCAAGCATGGGCCCTGGGCGCTGGCTTTGCAGCTGTTTCTGGGTCTTTAGGGTTTAGGGTTTAGGGGTTTAGGGTTTAGGGGTTTAGGATTCAGGGTTCAAGATTTAGGTTTAGGGGTGTAGGGTTTAGGGTTTTGGGGAGTTTAGGGAGTTTAGGGTTCTTTATGAAAGTAACCAGTAATTACCAAAAACGGGAGCCGTTTTGTTCCTAGCTTAGTGGGGACCCCTAGGTTTAGTTCAATGCCATCTGCCCGACTTGTGCCGGATATCATCAGCTTCAACGCAACAATCAGTGCCTGCGAGAAACTGGGCTTTGGTTCAGGAACGAAGATATTTTGTGTGAGTTCCTTAGCAAGCCAATAAGCCCTAACTTTAACATATCTTCGAAAGCCTTAAACCTACAGCCGTTTACTTCAAAACACCAACCTCCGTAACGACGGCCAAGGAAGAACGGATTCTGGCAATTGGCTTTGATGATCCTGTCAGGCTTGGCAACTGCCGAACTGCAGCCTACCGTGACTTGGTTTTCCCAGACCCAGCCTTTCAAGTTTTTGGCTGCTATGCGGGCTTTTCGGTTAGAGTTTAGGGGTTGTAGAGGTTAAAGGTTAGGTTGCTTTGGTTTGGTAAACGGTTAAAGTTTGAATTTCAATTTCAGGGGTTATAGAAGTCAGGTTGCTTTGGTTTGGGTAAAAGGGTAAAAGTTTGAGTTCGAAACTAGCCGTATAAACCCTAAACCCTAAACCCCTAAACCGTAAACCGATAGTAAGGTGACCTCATACGGTTCAGCCATCAGTGCCTGTGAAAAGAGCAGCGACTGGCAGGCGGAGTGGTTCAAGTGGAGAGGGTTTAGGGTATAGGGTTTCGACACACCATGATGCCATACCCAGAGGAACCAATGTACCTTCAAAAAGGACGTGAACCTAAAGCCCAGGTACATGTCCCTTTGCTTAGGTACCAAGGACCCTTGATGCCCTATGTTACCTCGAAACCTGTGATAGGTCAGTCCGGGAGATTGCATTCACATCTCCCACGGGTTCACACTAAACAAGTCCTTCCAAAGGAAGGGCTATTGGCACTGCAATCACAAACGGTGGCGACGTTTTGGTTGGTATAGCTCCTGAAGTACGGTCTATGCTGGGAGTAGTGGTGGGTTTGCATCGACTGGTGGGTGCATTTCAGGCGTGTATAATCAATAATCCAAACCAACCCCAAAAGCCCTAAAGTTGAAAGCTTGGAGCCCTTGCAGAACCAGTATTTACTCGCCAGTGGAGACCATGAGGAAGATACGCTGCAGTTGCTCCATCCAGCCGGGGAGGTGACGGGAGCAGAGGGTTCTATGGAAGGAGGGTCCAGTGCAAAGTCGGACGGGCATGAAGGGTCTTGAAGGCAGATCGACGTCGTCCATGAGGGGTGAGTTTTCTGTGCCGAGGTGGCACGTGCCTCCTGATCGTATACGGTCTTGATGCTTGTGTGAGCGGACATCAAAAAGGAGCTTAAAAAAAAAAAAGCTTGGAGCCCTGCGTGCAGGCTGCCCTCGAAATTCTCCGAACGATTTTTCATCACCGCCTCGCCAATGGGATCACCTGCAATTCAGCGCTGTCTGCGCTGGCGAGAGGCCGGCCGCCCAGCCTCGCGACCCCAGAACTCGACACCGAAACAATCCCAAGCCTTAATTAAGAAATGTAAGCTTAAACCGAAGTGTAACTAAGAGTACTGCAACTGTATCAATTGATAGTAGGCCTTTATAGGGTCACCTCAAGGAACCCTGAAGAAAGGACATGCCCGAACCTCGCGATCTGAACTCGATAGTCCCAAAATTCTAAATCTGCAAGCTGCCTAAGCGCTCTACCTTAGGATTCCTAAGGGTCCATGTACCCTTAAGGGTTCCTTTGAAGGGTTCCTGAAAGGGGTTTGTGCGGTTTAAGGTATAGGGGTCCATGTACCCAACTAGGATATACTTTGGCCTTGAAGTAGTCCCTATATAGCTACTTCATGGGGCCAATGTATAAACCTGTATGAGTACACATGGAGCCTCAGGGGATTGTAGATTCAGGGTTTAGGGATTTAGGGGTTTAGGGGTTAAAGGTGTTAGGGTTTAAAGGTTTTAGGGCTTAGGGGGGTTTAGGGGGAGCTATGGATTAGCATGCGTGAACAGCAGGTCATCGCCATGGGACCAGTGACGTGCAAAATTCGATATTATCACCAGCAACACACCCTGAAACCAAGAAGCTGCATAGTTTGGATGATGCCCTCACTGAGCAACAGATGAATAATGGTTATGAGTTGTACATATAATCAATGCAGATACATACCGCACCGTAGGGTGGTTGTACCCAGAACATACCCCAAGGGTCCAAGTACACGATAATCATATACTCTCCAAAATCCTAACCTACATAACTACTATCCTAAAACCGAGTACCTAATTATTGGGTCCGTGTAACATTGTCACAACAGTTAAGGAACCTCACAAGTATTCTGAATCCTACATTTATCGAATCTACAGGGAATGTCCAACAGTACGGTCATTGGTAGTTTACGACAAAAGAAGCATCAGGCTCGCAGTGGCTTCGAGCAGGCGCTCTGCTTTCCAAGATGCGGGACAGGGCAATCCCTGCAGACGCGGTGAGCCGCCAGGAGGCAGTGCTGCTACCCTGGGGGTCCTAAGGACAAGGGTTCCTGTAAGGGTTACCATAGAGGTTCCCATAAGGATTTCTATAAGAGTTTGCGGTTAATTAGTGCTGTCACCCTGGTGGTCCATGTACTCGAATAGTATATGCTTTGGCCAAAAGTATATAACATACTGTTTGAGGACATGGACCTTGATTAGGGTTCAAGTTTCAGAATCCATTTAGCCCTCCCGGTAAGGGTTGCTTCAAGGGTTTATGGCCTGGGGTTTGGTCATAGAAGGGTTACATTGGGTTTTGTGAATCGTTTAGGTTTCAACCACGGCTTTGGTGTCCGATGTCGATGGCGACAGGTTTGGGGGCTGCAGGGCTGACGTCTCGGTTCTACTTGGAGGTTCGTGGGTAGTTATAAGTGGAGTTATAAGTAGGGTAACTATAGTTCTAGCCCATATTAATTGACTTATAACGCCATTTATAACAGCCCATGAACCTCCAAGTATACATGTGCTTAAAACCCGCAACCAGTGTGCCCGTGGATTCTGGCTTCCGCAGTCGGATGGCTTCACCCTAGCAGCGGCATGCCCCCATCCTTATATGAATCAAACGGGTAGGATCTAGAGTAGGTCTATTCCCTTTTTAAGGGTTCAGGTTCTATTAGAAGCCCCTTTAAACCAAAAAGGCCACCCTTTTTCTTCCTATGTTACTCTTGGGTCTAGATGAGTGTTGAGACTACCTCCATTGAGAGTGCTACGGACTTCTGGCTCTCTTAAACGCATCCTTATTGAGATCTAGAGGGTCTATATCCCCATGGGTCCCCCCAATCCTTACTCCTAACCTCCATCGAGAGTTCTAAGGCTACAGCGCAGGCATCAGCGCGTGCGAGCAGGGCGACGTATCGGCCCAGCCTGCCTTTGGTTAGTAGGGAATGGAAGAATGGTACGGTTGATGATATAAATCCTGCATTACCTTAAGGACCCTGAACTATGGGAATTATGGTATATTCCTTATTATGGGTAATGCAGGATTTATATCATCAACCGTAGTAGTTATGATTGTACCCCATTCCTCCATTCCCTACTAACCAAGGGTAACTCTAAGGGTCCAAAGGACCTAATAATCAGGTACTTGGATTACGGATAGTAGTTTTGTAAGTTACAATACTAACCAAAGGTAAGTCTTTGGTGCCAGCGTGTCCGACTGAAAGTCCGAATCCTAAGTTTAGGGTTTGGGTATTAGCGTCTGGGGTCTAGGATTTTTAGGGTTGGGTCCTAACCTAACTAAGCTCTATCCGATTAGGCCGATTAGGCCCTTCTATAACGACGTTCTAGCCACTCCAGTCTCCTTCTCCCTCTGCCAATCGCGCAGAGGCTCCTGTTTTCATTGAATCGGGGGTTGTTCCAAGCGTTTGCTTGCTCTTTCAAGGTGTCGTAGGACTCTTAGAGATTGCAATAACTAGTTGTCTTGTGTTTCACTACATGGGCCTGAATAAGTCCGTATTAGAGGTATTAAGGCCCCCTACCCCCCTGCCTCCCCCCTACCCCGCCCAGGGTCCTTATGAGTCTTGTCACCTTACAGTAGAATACTACTGCTGCTACCATTGCTGCTGTCTTATTTACACCTTCCCGAATTACATGAGGGTTGCTGCTCATGCAGTTCGATACGGATCGACATTCTCGGGCTAGCAGTGTTTCATTGCTACTCTAGCAACCTTCATGAAGCAATACCACGGACCGCAACTGCAGGAACAACCTCTCTTTCCTTCTGTTGAAGATGTTGTCTGAATGTGTCTGCGGTGGACCGGCTTTGATCGAAGCTCCAGCACATCATGCCAGAAAAGCGAGTCTCAGATCTCAGGTATAGTTATATCAGGTATCATGTTACATCTGCACCGGGGCACTTAGAACTACCCTATACATACTTAGTATAAACATTGGGGCGACAGCACTTATATACATCTACGGAGTTCTTTGCGGTCAGACAGCTAAAGTACATAGTGTACGGGCCAGCATGGGTACATGGACCCTTAGGGTAACTCCGCAGCTCCCAATGAACCATCAAGAACGGTTGGTGGTGCATATTTGGGAGTTTCCGATTTTTGTTCTACGTATTTTGGGGTCTTGATAATAAGGAGCCTACTACATAGGGTACTGTATTAGGGTCCGCTATTTTCGGAAACTCCCTAAACCCTAATCCGTAAATCCGTTATAGAAGTATAATTAGAACCCTTATAGATCCCTTTAAGGAACCCTTTAAAAGGAACCCTACCTTAAGGCTCCTGGACCCTCGCAGTGAGATCCCGGACCCTAGCCCCCAAAGCCAAAACCCTCCCCCAGAAAGCCCAAGACCCTCTTTGGAGCCTTAAGGTAGTACCCAAATCCTAAGCTTAGTATAGAACCCTCATAGATCCCTTTAAAGGAACCCTTTAAAAGGAACCCTAGGGTCCCCTCTTTTCGGAAACTCGCATTTAGCGTTCGAGGGGCGAAGGGCTTATAGGGCCTTGTGGTTCCAATTCAAAATACTGGTCGGGGAGGTCCGGGCTTTAGGGTTGAGGGTTTTAGGGTTTGGGGTTCAGGGTTTAGGGTTTGGGGTTCAGGGTTTAGGGTTTAGAGTTTAGGGTTTAGGGTTTAGAGTTTAGGGTTTAGGGTTTAGAGTTTAGGGTTTAGGGTTTAGAGTTTAGGGTTTAGGGCTTTAGGGTTTTGTGCTTTGCGATTGGGACTTGGGCTCTTTGGGGTGCTATTTCAGCGTGTTCGGTCGTTGGGATGTTGGGCTGGGGCTTTGGGGTTTCGAGCTGTTTGGATCCGTGGAACCGCAATTATAGTACTGCGTGGTTCAGGGGCATCTTCTCATCTACTCACAGAGGCCCAAGCAAGTGTAATCAGGATTCAACCCATAAGTGTTCCCTGAACCCTAAACCCTAGACCCTAAACATGTGGGTGGTTGTCAAAATTACGGTCCCTTTTTGGGCACCCTAAATAGTCGGTGTCGTATTATAATAATGAGCCAAAAACGATATTTTTGACAACTACCCTATAGATCCCTTAAAGGAACCCTATAGAGGCCTTATAATAATGAGCCAAAAAGGTACTACAATTTTGACAACTACCCATGCATGTAAATCTGTGTACAGCAGTCTGGACATTGGTCCTGAAGCTACTATGTAGAAAATGCATTGAGACCGGAGGGTGTGTAGGTTCGGTCCACGGACCAATAGCACGGCACCCGTATAGACAGGACCCCAGAAGTTACCTTAATTTATAGAACTACCCATATGGACAAAAAACGGTTTTGGCATCTTGGGAAGTCGCGTTTTTTAGGGCTCAAGGGCAGCTGGAATTCAATGACGGAGCCAATGGCAGCAACATCACGTCGGAGTCCCGAATCCTCTGGACCTAAACCCCACATGCTAAGCCGGATCCAAACCCCCTAATTCAGCTCTAAACTGTTCAAAACATACGACTCTCATTCACATGTTGTTACATGTGTGAGAGTTCATACTTTGATATATATGTATATATATATATATGTATATAGACACATGTACACGCATAAAGTCTTAAGTACTTGAACAAAGGCTGCATTGCCTTAAACCCTAGCCTAAATCTTAAACCGCAACAGCCCTTAAACACAACAAAATCCCCTAAACCCTAAAACTCTAACACCCTAACACCCTAAAGCCCTCAACCCTAGCGCCCTAAATCCTAAAACCCTTATAAACCCCTTAACTGCTAGAGGGATGAGTTGGCTCTCTCGTATCTTCCGCCATGGAACATCAGAGCCTTGAGGAGCATCGCTGTATTCTCACGCAGCAGCTTTCAGGTTTCAGAGACACTACTATTTGCTTAAGAACCCCTCAAAAAATAAAAAATATATTCCTTATGGGTGTAATATAGGGATTATTATTTTCATTTTTTGGGGGTTCCTTAAGCAAATAGTAGGACAGGGTCCAACAAATTTTGAGAGTCCCTATAAAGCGCGACCCCGGTAGACGGGTGTATGTTGTTGGACATGTTGCTGCTCTTTGAAGTCCTTGTAAATTATTTAGCCAGAGCATACCTTGGGCACTGCGTACCGCCCACCTCAGTAACAGTTGGATACTATTCGTACTATGGTTATCTTAGACCCTTAATAGTAGCCCTCTCACAGACTGTTAGCATATGGGGGGGCAGTATAATATTCGTACTATGCTTATCGTAGACCCTTAATAGTAGATCTCTCATAGACTGTTAGTGCATGGGGGGGGGGGGCAGTACCCAAAAGAGTATACCTCCGAGATCCTTTTCCGATGAACAAAGCCTCGACATATTGAGCCCCAAGCGATGCCATCGGATGACTGCAGTCTCAAGTGAGGAATATACCCAGAGGCTCCATAGTAGTTCCTTTTGGGGTTTCATATATAGAATACTTTTAGGTAGTCCCAAAATTAAAAGGAACTACTATGGAGCCTCTGGGTATACAACACAAAGATCTTTTAAATATGCCCTCAAACCCCAAGCCCTACGTCTGTTTTCAAGCCCGCAGACACTCGTTTATAAGTAGGGTTATAGTTGGGGTAACTCCATTTGGGATACTTGTAACTCTACTTATAACCTACTTACTAAGTCCCCTGCCCCTCCAAGCAGGACTTGAACCAAGCCATCAGCGCTTATGGGAAGGCTGGCTTTTTTGTTTCAGAGTACTTCGGTTGATGATATAAATCCTGCATTACCCATAATAAGGAATATACCATAATTCCCATAGTGTAAAGTCCTTAAGGTAATGCAGGATTTATATCATCAACCGTTTAAACTCACCAAAACCTAAAAATACCATCTTAGGGTTTATATTAAGAACCTACGAAAAAGTAGGGTTTGGTAGGTAAAGGTAGGCTTCGTACCGTCTGTGCATGTCACCTTCCTTTCCGTAATAAGTTCAGGGACAGGTATCTCGCAAGCAATTCCTAGACCCCTAAAGAACCTAATTACCCTTTAAGGGCTTATATAAGGAAATCATAGTAAGTATCCCTACAATGGTAGGTTATTTAGGTCCAGGTTCGGCTGCTGGTTTCGCGGGTCCCAAATCCAAGCCCCATAAACCCTAAACCCCCTGAGCCCCAAGCCCACTAAACCGGAAACCGCAGACCCTCTGAACCCTAAACCCCTAAACCCTAAACGCCGAAACCCCTAAACCACTACACCCCAAGCCCAAACTCAAAAATCTCGAAGGCCAAGAAGTGGCAGCAAGGGCTTCAGCTGCTGTGGCAGATACCCGAAAGACGGCTGCTGGGCCGTTGTTTCAGTTTGGCAGCTTCCGAAAATACGGAACGCTCATACAGTACCCTAAACAGTAGGATCCTGAAGGTAAGCACCCCAAAATAAGGTACCCCAAATTCGGAAACTGCTATGTTCCTAGGACCTAGAGTAGGCCCTTATTCCCTTTATAAGGGTTCAGGGTCCCTTATAAGCCGCTTTTAAACCAAAAAGGGCACCTTTTTTAGTCCTAGGTTACTCTTGGGTCTAGTTTCCTTGTCACGAAGCGAGGTTGCGCCGCAGGGTGGTGAGCTTCAGTGCTGGCATCAACATAGGGGACCCTGGTACCCTAAATAGTAGGATGCTTACTATAAGGACCCCAGAATAAGATACCCCTAATTTCGGAAACTCCCTACACTAATCCCCATTATAGAACCCTTATAGCTCCCTTTACGGACCCCTTCAAGGGAACCCTAAGGTACCCCGCCAAGTTGGGGAAACTCGCAGGTTAAGCCGCAGTGTGGTGAGCTTCAGTGCTGGTATCCATGCCTGTGCAAAGGTAGGTCAATGGCAGATTGCCTTGACCCTCCTGGAGGAGAAGCCCTAAAGTCACGAGAGGGATCTATAAGGTTCCCCCTTTAAAGGGATCTATAGGGTTTAAGGTTCCCCCTTAAAGGGATCTACAGGGTTTAGGTCTAGGGAGTTTGGAGTTTGGGTTTGGGGCTTTAGGTTTCGGGCCGCTGACCCTCTAAACGCGAAACCTTTGGAAGCCTAAACTTTACTCAGATCCCCAATGCCTAACCTTAAAACCTTTTGGGTTCTTGTAGTGTAGTAGGAACCGGAAAGTTTATCCTTTCCATTCCATGGCTTACTGGGGTAGTAAGTTTAAACGCCTTCAAACCCATTAAGCCCATTATGAACATTAGACCTTATAAGCCTTAAACCAATAAAAAATTACATAAACCTCAAACCCTTAAACCCTAAAATCCTCGACCCTGCTGGAGGAGATGGCGAGGGAACAAGTTCTGGCCAATGTGATCTGCTTCAACGCCGCCATCAGTGCCTCTGGGAAAGGTGCGTTTTCTCGAAACTAAGGGGCTCGTAAATCCTGAATCCTAGTTATGAAGCCGTATTAACCCCCAAGTCCTCTAAATCCTAAGCCTTAAACCCTACTTCCTAAATCCTGAACCCTGAACCCTAAACCCGAAAAGTCCTTCATGGTCTCGGAGAGTCTCGTGTGACGACCCGAATCCCCATGTTTCTGAATCGCTTTGTCAAGCGTGGTTTCATCCTAAACCCAGTAGAGCGTTGGACCCTGATCCAAAGCTTAACACCGACATCCGAAAACCGTTTAAAACCGAAGTCCGAAAACCGTTTCAGACCTCACAAATGGGAGTTTCCGAAAATAGGGGAGCCTGATATAGCACCCTAAATGGCAGGATCCTCATTATAAGGACCCAAGATAAGGTACCCCTAATTTTGGGAAACTCCCAAATAAATCCTCATAAGATCCTTAGCGAGACTCCTCCAGTGATCCCTCAAGCCCCTAACCTTTGGGAGTGCATGGGGAAGTATAAGGATCATCGTACCCCCATAACGGTTACCTACTCTACTACCAGGACTATATCTAAACCCTAAGCCCCTAAACTCTAAATTGTAAACCCTTACTCGCCAAACCTTCAACTGGCATCCAACCTGTGGCAAAGGTGGCTGCTGGCAGCTTGCTCTTCAGCTACTCTCTGAGATTCCCACTGCGAAGGCATCCGCAAACGTGGTGAGCTTCTGGGTACCGGTTCAGATAGCTTTACCCAGACCTTCCAAGATCCCTTCACTAAGGAAGATACCTTTTCTATAGCATCCTTAACCTGCTTTCAGGAGTATTCCCCAATTAGGGTACAATGGGAAATCGGGGTGCCTTACCTTAGAACCGCAACCCCAACAACCAGGACCCTCAACTCCAATCCCTACGTGGAAGGTGGGGGGACTCAGACTTATAAGTATCCTAAGAGGGGGTCCTAATTGAGGTTGTGATCCTTTTCAGACAAAACAAGCTATTTACTAAGTCCCCCGACCCTGCAGGTAAACCATCCAAAAACCCTTCCAAACCCTAAAGCCTTAAACCCTAAACCCCTAAACCTAAACCCTTATAGATCCCTTTAAAGGAACCCTTATAGATCCCTCTAAAGGGAACCTCTAAACCCCTAAACCCCAATCCGTTGGCCAAGAACTCAGGCTTCAGCGCCGCCATCTCTGCCTGTGAGAAGGCCAGTCGGTGGCAAGAGGCCCTAGGCATCTTATCGGAGACTCTCGGATCTTTAGTTTGGGGATTTAGAGTCTAGGGCTTAGGGTAGGCTCTTTGAGGGTATCCGCTTAGGGCTTAGGGATTATATAAATTATGGCTTAGGGAAGGACCTTTAAGGGCATCCGTGATTTGCTTGGGCTTAGAGGTTAGGGATTTAGAGTTTATAAGGGTTTAGGGTAGGCTCTTTAAGGGTATACGCTTAGGATTTAGAGTTTATGGTTTAGGGTGGGCTCTTTAAGGGTATATGTGATTTGCTTGGTGTTTCGAGTTTAGGGTTTCGGGTAGGCTCTTTGCAGTATACGTGGTTTACTTAGGGCCTCTTAGGGCCTAGAGTTTTGTCATGGTACACGTGGTTTACTTCGGGCTTAGGGTTTACTTGAATCCCAAAGGGATTAGGTACTGTTACGCAGGATCCTTCCCCAAGTTACTACTTGTAGTAATTCTTAGCATAGAAGCTCTTCGTACCAATTATATACTAGATTGGTATTTCAGGAGCCGTTGAAAATAATAGACTTGGTTTACTTGTTGTTTCGTGGCTCCGTGAAATACTTTACGTAGGAAACCACAGGAATATACGTTCCCCAGTAATGTAGGAACCTGATTAAGAAACCCTGGGCCTATAACCCCAAAATATTGGGACTCAGGAAAGGAACCCTAGCGCCCTTATAGATCCCTTATAGTAACCCTTCTAGACCCCTTTAAAGGTTAGGTTCTTAAAGCAGCCCAGGATGCCAGGGCGCCGTGCTGAACCGAATGAAGTTAGCTGGAATTCGGCGGTGAGCAGTTGCGAGAAGGCAGGTGAATGGCAGCTTCTTGGCTGATGGAATACCATGTGTAATACGGTTGATGATACAGATCTTGCATTACCTTAATGACCTTAGGCTATGGGAACTATGGTATATTCCTTATTATGGGTAATGCAGGGTTTATATCATCAACCGTATGACTCCCCATGTGCTGATTGAACCGTAAACCCCAAACCCTTTTCGGGCGCATTCCTTCCTCTGAGGTTGGCTTTGCAGCTCTTCTCTCAGATGCCTGAAGCTGGACTTCGGCAAGACACGATTACCTTCAATGCTGCAATCAGCGCCTGTGGCAGAGCCGGGCAATGGGATCGGGCAACTCAGTCAGCCAGTAGTACCCCTGTGCATAAACCCTGATCGTTTGGGTGTCTGTATTTGCACTGAATGGTACAGTGAAGCAGCAGGATACCCATATTTTGAAGGGTTCCTGGGCAACTAGGCAATCCAAACCCTAAGCCCTAACAACTAGGCAATCCAAACCCTAAACCCTGAACCTAACAACTAGGCAATCCAGATGCTGGGGGAAATGTCCGTTGCCAAGTTGCCTGCAAGCGTCGTTAGCTTCAGTGCCAGCAGCATGGCCTGGAATCAGAAGGAGTTCTCGGCTCCATTGCAAGACCTATACCCTAAACTCCATAAGCCTTAATTGTGCAAAAATGTTGATAGATAATCGCCACAAACAGCCCAGGCATGACAGCATGTCACCAGGCTAGTCAGTGGCAGACAGCCCTGACACTTCTCAGCAGGATGCCGGAGAAGAAGGTGTTGCCCAACACGGTAGCCTTTAATGCCGGCATCAGTGCATGTGACAAGGCCGGGGAGTGGATGCTGGCTCTTCAGATCTTGTCCGACATGCCAGCTGCAGCTGAACCGAACGTTATCACCTACAGTGCTGCCATCAGCGCCTGTGCTTCAGCTGGACAGTGGCACGCGGCTGTCTGCTTGCTTGAGAACATGCTTCTGAGAGGGATAGCTCCGAGTGTGATCAGCTTCAATGCTGCAATCAGTGCATGTGCCTTTGTCATTCATAGTTGGATAACATTTTACATGTTTATGGGTACTTCAACCCAAGAAGGAACAGATTTCGATTTTATTTTTTGCTTTCCCTGCTATGGAGTAGGTGAGGATGCTGGATTTTGGCAACTGGCACTTCTGCATCTGGCAAACATGCCTTCGGCCATGGTGTTGCCAGATGTCGTCAGCTTCAACGCATGCATCAGTACATGTGAGAAGGGCGGCAACTGGCAGCTAGCCTTGGCGCTCTTGTTCAACATGCTTTCTATGCAACTCTCAGCTGACAGGATTAGCTACAGTGCGGGAATCAGCGCCTGTGAGAAAGCAGGGAACTGGGAGGCGGCACTGGCACTACTTGCTACAATGGGAACCTTAGGGGTACTTAGAAATATGTTTTAATTTTTGGTTATTGTAATCCCTAAGAAACAGCTAAAATTACAATTTTGGCTAGGGTTCTAAGTTCAGTATAGGAGCTGCTAGGGTGCTTGCCAACGAGATCACCTTCGGTGCTGCTATCAGTGCCTGTGAAAGTGGCGGGCGATGGCAGATGGCCCTGCAGCTGCTATCCGACATGCCACTTGCCAACGTGTCCGTTGATGCTGTCAGCCACTGGGCTTTGGAGTACCATACTTTAATCCCAAAGGGTCCAAGTATCATCATGGGATATACTTAGACCCCCAAAATGCCCTATAAGTATATACCAGCATGATACTTGGACCCTTTGGGAATACTTTATTTCCTAAAGGAGCCATGATGAAACAGAAATAAATACGCCTTTCTCCCCGGTTACCCTAAACCCTAAACCCTAAACCCCTAAACCCTAAACCCTAAACCCTAAACCCTAAACCCCTAAACCCCTAAACCCTAAACCCTAAACCCTAAACCCCTAAACCCCTAAACCCTAAACCCTAAAGATCAGGCTACAATGCTGCTATAAGTGCCTGCCAGAAAGCCTGGAACTGGCAAGAGGCTCTGCAGTTGATGTCAGAAATGCCGGCACCAAATGTGGCTTAGATCCCCAATGCCTAACCTTTACTACTGTTTGCTTAAGAACCCCCCAAAAAATAAAAAAATATATTCCTTATTGGGGGGTAAGATAGGGATTATTATCTCTATTTTTTGGGGGGTTTCTTAAGCAAATAGTAGTTTAAACTGTTTGGGTTCTTATAGTTTAGTAGGAATCGGAAAGTTTAACCTTTCAACTCCATGGCTTATTGGGGTAGTAAGGTGGTCAGCTTCACCACAGCTCTGAGCGCTTGTCAGAAAGGTTTTCAATGGGAACAGGCCTTGCACCTCTTTCGGGAGATGGGGGCGAGGAGAGTGGACCGAAACGTGGCCTCTCGGATACTTCAAGCCGAGATCAGTACTGCTGCCGCTGCTTTTACCCGTTGTTGCTATGATGTCCTGCTTTCAACAAACATGAATGCTCGACATTGACGCCCTCTAAACCCTCAACGCCAGGAAATAGAAAGGACTCTACTCCGCACTCGGCTCATCCCTAGCCCGTATAACACAAAGGGTCCAAAGTACCTTTATGGTAGAATGTAGGGTTCCTATCTTAGGAATTACTATTATGTTTTGGGGAAGTATCCCCCCTAACAGTACTTTGGACCCTTTGGGTAAATGAAAAGTGCTGTTGTGCCCTGTAGCGTGCTTACAGGCTATGCAGTGCTCAAGAGACGGGCTTTGTCGTCTTGTCTCCGCCTCGAGGCCATACCCCAAGGGTCCAAGCACCCAATAATCATATACTCTCCTACATGACTACTATCCTAAAACCGAGTACCTGATCATTGGGTCCTTTGGACCCTGGGGGATAGACCTAAACTCAGAAGCGCAACTCGCCAGCCGAACCCCAAATTGAAGCCTCCAAATCCTGAGCCCCACGCCCCGCCACCCACGCGACACCTGAAGCCCCTTTAGAGTTTAGGGGGCAGGTTTTAGGCTTTAGGGTTTAATGGTTTAGGGGTTTAGGGTTGAATGGTTTAGGGGTTTAGGGTTTTAAGGTTTAGGGTTTTAGGGTTTAGGGTTTTAGGGTTTAGGCTAATTAGGGTTCTAGGGGAAGCAGCTTTAAGTTTTGTGGTCGAGGGTTCTTGGTGCAATGGCTGGAGCACCAAGGCCAAACCCCGAGCCTGCACTGTGAACCCTTAACATAGGGGTACTTAGAAATAGTTTTTAATTAATTTTGGTTATTATAATCTTCAAGAAACAGCTAAAATTGTAATTTTTGCTTGGGTTCTAAGTTCAGTATAGCTAAGCCCGCGTGTTCCGAAGGCCTCAGACTCCCGGTTGTATAGGCCCGGAGGGTCCATGCACCTATTGCACGTATTGTGTGGGTGGTTTGTCAAAATCATGGTCCCTTTTTGGGTACCTTACATGTTAAACCCAAGAGTGACCACAATTTTGACAGCCACCCGTGTATGGCAGATGCACAGGCCCAAAACTTGCATGCAATAACCCCTTCCAGGCCAACGTAGGTAGGCGCATGGACCCGTAGGGTTGCTCAAAACCAAATGGGAGTTTCCGAAAATAGGGGACCCTAATGTAGTACCCGAAATGGTAGAATCCTTATTCTAGGGACCCGGATGTAAGGTACTAGGTACCCCTAGTTTTCGGAAACTCCCAAATCCTACTATTTGCTTAAGAAACACCCAAAAAATAAGAATAATAATCCCTATATTACCCCCATAAGGAACATATTTTTTATTTTTTGGGGGTTCTTAAGCAAATAGTAGCATCCCTTGCAGAAAGCCAAGGTCAGCTTCAGTGCATCGATAAGCGCGTGTGAGGCCGGAGGGCAGTGGCAGTTGGCGCTGGAACCTCGGTGTTTAGGGTTCAGGGGTTGAAGTGTTAAGGAGTTTAGGGTTTAGGGTTTTCAGTGTTAAGGAGTTTAGGGTTTTTGGGTTCAGGGTGTTTAGTGTTTGGGGCTTTTGGTTTCTAGTTCCTCCTGCAAGCTACCAATAGTATGATCGTTAATAAACAACCCAAAGCCCTTGACCCTAAACCTATAAACCCGAAACTCCAAATCCTAGACCCCAAACACAGACCTAGGAACTGAACAACCCTAAACCCTTGACCCTGAACCCCAACACACTAAACGTAGGGGTCCAAGTACTCCCTATTCCAGGACTAATTGGACACACCCTAAACCCTAAACCCTAAACCCCTAAACCCTTGAACCCTTAAGCCTTTAAACCCTAAACCCTCAACCCTTAAACCCTAAACCCGTAAACCCCTTGAACCCTAATCCCGATGCACTAAACCTTTAACCCTACACCCCAAGGGTAAAAGGAGGGACCCTTAATAAGGACACCTAGGTATATACCCTTAATCTAGCTATTATATACCCATTATATAGCCCATTATAGGGTAGGGTTGCCCATTAAGGGTCCCTCCTGTCCCCTCCTTTTCCCCTTTGATACACCCCAAACACCAAACCGAGGAACTGCTCCGTGAGATGCTCCACGTCGAAGTCCGGGCGTACCTGGGCCTTATTACAGCGGAAGCCCAAAAGTTGCTATATGTATATATATATATATATATATATATATGTATGTATATATTTTTTTGTATACATACATATATAGATATATATATATATATATATATATATCCCTATAGATCCCCTTTAAAGGGCCCCTTAATGGAACCTTATTCTAATTATAAAGGCCCCTACGTTACAGCGAAAGCCCAAAAGTTGAAAAACCAATAGCTTCAATCCTTAAGAGTTATGTATGGGGAACCCCAGCACCATTTGGTCTCACGTAAGCATGTTTCCAACCTTTTTGGGTGAACTATAGTTCTTCTGAGCTCCCCTGTAAAGTATCAGTCAGGGGTCGGCAGTACCCTACACAACAACCCTAAGGGTCCAAAGGACCCAATAATCAGGTACTTGGGTTTAGGATAGTAGTTATGTAGCTTAATATTTAAGAGAGTATATGATTATTATATACTTGGACCCTTAGGGCAAGTGTGCAGAAAATTGAATATTCAAGCGTACCTTAGGCTTTGGTTTTTGTATATCCCCAAACCCGAGCAGTTATTAAGCCTCTGTGTTCGAAGCATGCTAGTCCTAAGCCCGACACCTGCCCTTATGGCCCTTTATAGTGGATATTTGGATGCTTGGGGTTTAGGGTTTAGAGTCTAGAGTTGGGGGATTTGGGGTTTAGGGTCTTACCCCACTGCCCCTGGGCATCAACATAGCCCAACTAGGATGCCCAGTAGTACCCTTATTCCCTTTTTGTAGTCCTAGCTTCCTTATAAAGTTACCCAATACCAAAACGAGAGGCCTTTTTATTCTTAGGTTACTGGGTATCCTAGCCAAAAGCCTTATGTAGTATGGTCTTTGGGCCCAAGCCTATATGAGTCCTTGGAGCCCTACATTGCTCACGGCAGCCAAGGAATGCCGTCAGTTTCAACTCCGCCATCAGCGTCTCTGCTTCCGTGGGGCATTGGCAGAAAGCCGCCTGCCTGGGCTAACCATTCCCGTACCCCAAGGGTCCGAATACCTAATAATCATATACCCTCCAAAATCCTAGCCTACATTACTACTATCCTAAAACCGAGTACCCAATTATTGGGTCCTTTGCACCCCTGGGGTTAGACCGCAACATGTGGGAAGATCTGGTATGCAAGTTTTCAAACTCCAAGTTGAGACCGGGCGTCGTAGTCACCTTTTGTAAGAAGAACAACCAGCTTTTCCTTTGCTGCTTTGGTGGTGGTGGCGTGGGGCGGGGGAGAGTGGTGGGGGTGGGACTGGTGGCATTTCGGTCCAAGAAACCCGAACGAAAGAACACCAAACAAATCAAACGTTAGATTTGAAGATCTGGATTTTGCGCCGAGGTCCTGCAGCTGCTTTTCCTGATGACACAGTCCTCCTTGCCCCCGGATGTCGTCAGCTTCAACGCCAGTCTCGCCACCAGTGGTCAAGCCAGAACCTTTTTGACGTAAACCCCGGAAAGCCAGAATCATGTTTCAGTCAGTTCACTGCCCGGCTTGGCACAAAGGCGGAGCAACCAAGATACGAGCAGGTGCACTATCAAGAACAAGACCCAAAACCTGGAACAACTTGCATGAATCCCGAGAATTAAGCCCTAAACTCCAAACCCGAAATGCCGCTAGACCCTAAACTATCGTTGTTTTTTCTTTCAAGAGCACCCCGGCTGTTTAGGTGAAGACTAAACCCTAAACCCGTAAACCCTAAACCCTGACCCTGAAAGATTCCATACCCTCAGCTTAGGCTTGCTTGGCTTCCGTGAGTCACGATCGAAGCTGGGAGATGGTTCTGCTGCTGCTACAGAAGATGGCGAAGGAGGGTTCCGGGATCAGGGTTTCAGGGTTTAGGGCTTTACAGCTTCTCAGGTTTTAGGGTTTTAGGATTTAGGGTTTTCGGGGTTTAGTGTTTTTGTGTTATTCCAGGTGTTCGTGCTTTAGGGTTTTTTGGGGCCGTAGGATTTTAGGGCTTTTGGCGTTTGAAGTGCTCGGGCTTTCGGACTAGGGTTCTTTAGGGTTTAGAGGTTTAGGGGTTAGAGATTGGAGGTTTAGGGTTTAGAGGTTTAGGGTTTAGTATTTGGGTTTTTAGGGTTTAGGGGTTTTGGGTTTTGATGGTTAGTGTTCCCTTAACAGCTCTACACAGGATCTTAGTAGGAGGTTCGGGGTTGGTTTTAGGGACTTAGGTTTTAAAGTAAAAGCCAGAAAGTTGGAATATCATTATCCTAAACCCTTGATGGTAAATTATAGGGGATCCTGCCATTAATCCATATTCCAACTTTCTGGAGTTCCCTTTAGTTAATCTGGTAGGATTTAGGGTTTAGGGTTTAGTCTCTGGTCTTTAAGGTAGTATCCTTATTATAAGGACCCCAAAAGGAGGTACCCCTAATTTCGGAAACTCCCATTTAGGTTTTAGGGTGTCAGGGCTTGCGACTCTCAGAGTTTGAGGGATTAGAGCCTGGTCGTCAAAAACCGCGCAGATCGAGGGTTGATTTTTGGGGGTTTTGGGGCGTTTGTGGGACAAGGACTATACCCTTAAATGATGATGGGGCTTCCTAGAATGCTCAGAGGGCTAAGTACTCAATATTTTAGGGCTTTTGGGCCATTCTGGGCACCAAGAACCATAAATAAGGACTACTTGAACCCTCAGGGCATAATGGATCTTACTTGGAGGTTCATGGGTAGTTACAAGTGGAGTTATAAGTAGGGTAAGTATAGTTATAACCCATATTAGGGGACTTATAACTCCACTTATGACTACCCATGAACCTCAAAAAAGGGACCCTCATTTTGACAACTACTTATAGGACACTTCTTCAAGAAACTGGGGCATCTCTGAAGGTGGGGCCAAACTGGCCCTCGGGCCACGCGGTTTAGGGTTTAGGGCCTAAAAAGTTTAGGGTTTAGGGTTTCAAGTTCCATCTGGCTTGAGGGCTTTGGAGCCTGCGAGCTAGAGGATACCCTAAGGCTCCATAGTAGTTCCTTTTGAGGGTTCATATTTAGAATCCTATAAGGTGCCCCCCCAAAAAGGAGCTACTATGGAGCCTCTGGGTAAAGCCAGGGTTGTGGGTAATGTAGTGGGTAGGATTCTAACCCGAAGGGTCCAAAGTACTGTTATGGGGGATACTTCCGCAAATCATAATAGTAATTCGTAATATAGGAACCCTGCACTCTACCATAAAGGTACTTTGGACCCTTTGGGTAACAATTCTAGAAGAATGCCGCCACAGCACTCGTATAGGATCCTGCTGCGGGCGAAAAATTTTTTTCGTATTCTGGTAATGTAGTATCGTATTAGAAGAAGGAACCCCGCAATTTGTTGAAGGAACCCCCCAAAACCCTATTCTAATTAGAAAGGCCCCTGCAGTAGCGATGCCCGCCGAGAGGATTCTGTGAAGGCTGACGTCCTCAGCATCTCGGCGGCTTGCGTTGTTTCGAGGGTCCCTAGGACCCAGAGTAGGCCCTTATTCACTTTTTTAGGGTTCAGGTTCCCTTATAAGCCCCTTTTAAATCAAAAAGGGCATCCTTTTTATGCCTGGGTTACTCTTGGGTCTAGGTCCTATAAGGGTACTATGAGGTACCATCTAAGGATACTGTAAGGGTTCCTTTAGCGGTTCCGAAGGATGCTCGGTGTAGGGTTTAGGGTTGCAAGGGTTTTGGGTAATTAGAGGGCTTAGGGTTACAAGGGTTTAGGATTTAGGGTTGTGGATTGGGACTGGAGACCTTAAAGTACATTGGTGGGTTGCAATGCTTGGTGATAGAATCCCCCGCCTGCCTATACCGCAACATACGGTTGATGATAAGAATCTGCATTCCCTTAAAGACCCTAAACTATGGGAGTTATGGTATATTTCTTATTATGGGAAATGCAGGTTTTATCTCATCAACAGTACCACTCTAATCCATATGAATCTTTTTTGCCCCTACACTGAACCCTTGTCGAACCTTAAAGGGACCTGAAATCCCAAACCCGAAACCCTCTACCCTAGCCCTGAACCCGAAGCCCCACCCCCTCTCTAATATAGGGGGGCCTTAATATTTACAGAGACTATTTGGTGGGTTCCTCACTAAGTTATAGCAGAAGATCACACAAAAACCTAATCTACAGTGTCTCTCCCCAGGTTTCAATTCTGCCCTCCGGGCCTGTGAGACGGCAGGGCAGCACCAGTTTGCTGTGGAATTGAACTCCGAGCTCGCCGGGCCCGCTCTGAGCCGACTTCGGCGAAAAGCGTAGTTTACTTTCGCTCGTTTGTTTTAAAGGTCCAAACCGACTTCATGTTCCGTCTTGCGGTAGGAGAGCACCAAACCCCTGACCTCCTGAACAAAAGCCCTTCAGAACCTTTAGTAGACACCTCGTGAAACGTTTCTGAAGCCCAATACTTAACCCGGAACCCGTACAACACCCAGAAAACCTTGTAAAACCTGCTTCTAAAGCCCCTGAGCCTTAAGCTAGACCCACCCTGAAACTCTAGACTGTAAACCGCCTTGCATCATAGAGTGCTACAGCCCACAGAAAGTGGGTTTGGACTCCATTTTTTGCACGTGGTGAGAAGCCTCCTGACATGATCTTGTCGCAAGTAGCATGGATCGTCGACAGGCCGGGCTTTGGAGTCCCATGCTTGAACATTTCTTTAAGGAGCCACTATGAAATTAAAGTAACCCTAAACTCCTAAACTCTAAACCCTTAAGGAACCATTATGAAGTTAAAGTAACCCTAAACTCTCAACCCTTAACCCTTAAGGCCCTAAACCCAAAGGGTCCAAGTATCATCATGGTATATACTTAGACCCCCAAAATGCCCTATAAGTATATACCAGAATGATACTTGGACCCTTTGGGAAACAGAAGTCTATACTTTTTTCTCCCTGCTTACGTAAAAGCCCAGTGGAGAGACAGGCCCAGAGTACGACTTCTGAAGACTACGGTTTGATGATATAACTCCTGGGGTTCCTTTATAAAGGGGTCTATAGAGGTGCCTTTAAGGGGTTCCTTTAAGGGATCTATAGGGTTTTAGGGTTTAGGGTTGATGATATAACTCCTGCATCATTACCCTAAGGACCCGAAGCTATGGGAAGTATGACGGAATTATGGTATATTCCGAAGAGGAAACTGAACCCCGCCCCTTTTAAGGGGAGATACTGTTGACGATATAACTCCTGCATTACCCTAAGGACCCTAGGCTATGGGAATTATGGTATATTCCTTATTATGGGTAATGCAGGATTGATACCATCAAGCGTATGACAGGCAGATGCACGGAATGTGCAGAGTTCTGTAAGGGTCCTACGATGGCTTTATCAGGTTTCTCTAAGTGTTCTACAAGGGTTCTGCCAAAGTTTAGGGATTTGGGGGTTTAGGGTTACCCTGCGTCACCCAAATTAACGAGGGAGTATGCCTTAGAGCATGTTGATTGTTGGTTTGATGCAATGTCTATTCCCTAATTAAGGGATCCTTTAAGACTTGGATGAATTGACCGTTTCCATCGTCTGGTATTGTCAGGATTCCATGGTTTGGGCTCCCGTGCGGAAGGTCCGATCATTGTCAACTCTTTTTCTTTTATGGGCTGAGACGTTTTGGTAGTGCATGCGGCGTGGAAAACAGGACATCAGAGTTCTGCGAATCGCTGTCGCACAGGGCTGTGACAAGTCGAAGAATGGGATTATAAGGTTTACGACTCAGGGCCCTGCATGCCGCAGACAGGAGCAGCTGTCTGAGACTCTGCGGGTTGTAGGGGGCCTACTTAAAGGGGTCATGGAACTTCGTAACTAAGGTTATAATTAGGGCAACTATACCTATAACTACTTATAACCCCAAATAAGGTACTTATAACCTTACTTACTAAGTCCCACGATCCTCCAAGTATAAAGCGCAATTGCGCGGTGTGACTCCTTGGAACTCCTCCCAACTCGGTTACGGGTGTCATGCACGGTGTCATGCACCTTGTGGTTGGGTCTCCTTATTTCAAATACGGTTTAGGGTTTAGGGTTTTGGGTTTAGTGTTTAGGGTTTTGGTTGGATTCACCCTCGCCTGCCATTAAGAGCCATGTTTTGTGGGGTGCTCTTTTCAACAAAGCTCCCTTTCAACTATCCATTAAGACCCTTAGACCTTTGAGGATATGGTTCTTTCCTAAGTATGGTGAATACACAGCCGCCGCAGGAATGCAGGCACCCTTCCTTCTGTTAAAACGAATCTTAACCTGCTTCCACCATACCCCCTAGGCCCTGAATCACTGCGCTTAATACTCAGTAGTCGAGTAGGTAACCTTTAACCTTTTGGGGCTCATATAATCCTACCATACTTGACAATTTTAGCCTTTTTTGGGCTGGGGTACTCACTAAACCCTAAAAGCCCTGAGCCCCTGACCATAGATTAAAAAAAACCCTAATCCCTAGCCTAAACCCTATAAGCCCAAAGCCCCGAACCATAACCCTCAGCCCCTATGTTAAAGCAAAACATGGGAGTTTCAGGGGAGCCTAATATAGTAACCTAAATAGTAGAATCCTCACTATAAGGACCCCAAAATGAGGTACGCCTAATTTTCGGAAGCTCTCAAGTGCCCTCGCGAAGTTCCAAATCCGAGCTGGGATTTGAGAAGACTGCGTTCTTGTTAAGGAATCTAGTGTAAATTACCATAAGAAGGGAGCCTCTAAGGGATCCAGAAGCGTTGCTTTAAGGGTTTCGGGTTTATTTCAGGTTTAGGTTACCATTGTAGGGATTTATAGTAGACAGTGTGGTTTCCTTATTATGGTAAACTCGAGTAAATCCCTTAACAAGAACCCAGGGGAGGCCAGGTAGACTTTTTCCGTTTGGATCAAGGGTTTAGGGTTTTGGGGTTTAGGTAACTGTACTAGGGGTCTATAGTATTAAGGGTTTAGGGTTTTGGGGTTTAGGTAACTGTACTAGGGGTCTATAGTAGATAGTATGGTTTCCTTATCATGCTGAACAATTAAAGTACATTCTTGCTTTTACTCTAGGGTCTTGGGGTTTAGGGCTTAGGGTTTCTTAAGAAGAACCCGGGAGAGGCCAGGTAGCCCTAAACCCTAAAACCCTAAACCCTAAAACCCTAATCCCTAATCCCTAAACCCTAAATTCTAAAACCCTAAAACCTTAAACCCTAAACCCTAAAACCCTAAACCCCAAACCCTAAGCCCTAAGCCCTAAACCCTAGAGCAAGTTCCTTAAGAAGAGCCCAGGAGAGGGACCTCACCGAGATGCCGCACTTCAACTCCCTGCTCTCCGAGGCTCCTTGGAGGGCTTCAAAAGTTGGGACGAAGGTCGGTATTTCGGGGGGGGGGGGGGCTCCTTTAATGTAAAGAGGGATCCTTACAGGGGGTCTGTAAGGGATCTGTAGTAGGGTTCTATGGTATAGGTGCCTGAACAATTTCCAATACGATTTTATTTTGGAGGCGTTCCTTCTTATGGGTATAGTGTATTCTGCCCCAAAACCCTATTTTAATTATTAAGGGCCCTATACTACGATGAAGGATCCTTTATGTCTGGGCTCTTGGGAATCATCCCACCTTTGATGAGGACAGACGAACGGTTCGGGGTTTGCACAGGGTTTAATGTTCGGCGTGTAGGGTTCAGGGTTTACGGATGCCAACTATTCTGTCTGCTCGTCGTGGATATCTTGCCTGTATTCGAACAGATACCCGGATACCCGGCTACATTTGCAGATGTAGCCAGGCCTTCAACCCCGCAGAGTACCTTGTGTCTGCTTCTTCAGGAGCGATGCAAGGAAATCATCAAGAAGATGAGCCCTAAACTCCTAAACATGTAGGCTTTCAAGGTTCCAGGTGATTCCTCGCCCTAGACCCAAACCCTGAAACCCCAAGCACAAACACACAACAGCCTGAAGCCCAGCCCCACTCAACACCCACGCCTTCCTAAAGAGGAAGGTAATCTACTATTTGCTTAAGAACACCCAAAAAAATAAAAAATATATTCCTTATAGGGATACATAGGGATTATAATTTTTTATTTTTTTTGGGGGGGGGGTTCTTAAGCAAATAGTAGTAATGGAAAGGAAGAGGGAAAGCCGTCAATCCTATGCCCACCGCCCAAAGCCCGGTAAACTCCCTGCAAACCAAATGACCCTTATCAGAAGGGGCCCTATACCCTGCTACTATGAACCCCTGGCGGTATATGAACCTCAGACCCTTTTGGGTTAGATTCCCTCTTCAACCCCTCGACCCTCTAGCACTTTAAGGAGCCCTCCAAGGGACCCTTTGCGGGTTCGTTTCGTCCTTTACCCCAAGGGTCCAAGTACCTAATAATCATATACTCTCCCAAGCCCTAACCTACATAACTACTACCCTAAAACCGAGTACCTTATTATTGGGTCCTTTGGACCCTTGGGGTTAAGTCTACCTGAGCTCAGTCTCCAGGGCACTGGGACGCTACGTGCGCGGACAGTCTTTCCATCGGTCTCGGCGCCGGCCGGACTCAGTTTGGTTTAGGGGTTTAGGGTTAGGGTTTAGGATTTTAGAGTTTAGAGTTCAGGGTCTTAGGGGTATAGGGGTTTAGGGGTTTAGGGTTCAGGGGTTTGGGCCATTGGGGGTTAGAGTTCAGGATTCTTGGGGTATATATAGGGGACTCAGTTTTCCTGCTTTCGGCGGGGCTTTATGGGTTGGCGAATGGGTTTTTAAAGGGGTATCAAGGGGTTCAGTGGGATTTATAGGGTGCTTAGCGGGTTTAAAGGGATTCACACAGGAGTTTATGTGTGTTGAATGGGGTTTGGGGTTCAGGGTGTTGGGGCTTTCTCTAGTTAATTAGTTCGGGAATGTTCGTGAATTGAGTAGAAGGTTTTCGGTCACCTAGTAGTACCCTCATACCTCTCGTATGGAAGGAATTGTAGCAAACAGGGTACATGCCCGCAGTCTGAAGAGATGATTTCCGACTTTACTCCTTGAGGCCTTTTCATGTTGCTCGAGGCTTAGGGTTTAGCGCAATGCATGTTACTTGTAGCAGTCGGGTAGGCAACGTGCTAGCTCCAAAACAGCTACTGGTCAGACTTCTTGACAGCCTATTGAAGATCAAAGAGGGTTTCAATCTTTGTTTTGACAGAAACTTAGCGGTTGCACGCGCCAACAATCGAGGAGCCTAAGGCCTAGTTAACCGGACCTACCAGAATCCAGACCGAAACATCTAAAGCCCTTATCACCGCTGCTGAAGCCCGTATAGCACACTCGTAAAAAGGTGCTACAAGACGCATGTAAACCTTGTAACACCACGAACCCCCGATAATCCATTTTTTGAAGCATTGAAGCTCCAGGAAGTGCAAGTTATGAAATCTACGGAAGCCCACTCGGAACAGTGCAGCTAGCTAGCTCAATGTCAAACCCCAACACCCTTCGAACAGAGCGTGCGGTTCCCGGATCTTCCAAATACCGAATTAAGGAACACTCTGAAACATATTCGGGATCCGATTATGAGTTGAGGTGTGTATGTGTGTATATATATATATATATATATATATATATATGTACGTGTATGTATGTAAATACATGGCGCAGTATGTTTGTGCATATGTACATATATATATATATATATATATATATATATATATATATGTATATTTACACATATACACATCTACGTTCATGTCTTATATGAGGGATACTGAAAGATCTGAGACCGTGGAGAGGCTTGGTGCGCTGTGCTATGCAGCCAGGTGCCGACATGAACGCAGTGTTCAGAGGTTTCTTGTGAGGGTTTAGGGTTCGGGTTTTGGGGTTTTGGGGTTGAGGGTTTAGGGTTTCGGGTTCTGCAAGAGTGCTACGAGGGTGCTATGAGTTTTTTTTTTTTTTTTTTTTGGGGGGGGGGGGGTGGTGTTTTCGGGGTTCCTTTTTCCAAAGCCTTTCAACGAAACATGCCCTTTGGCTCTGTGTCACAGGGCGCCCCCAACCCAGGGTTTCATAAGCCTACACCGTTGAAGCAACAGAAGGTCACAATACTGAACCCCCACTCAGGAAAAAAAAACGAAGAAGAATATGCAAAACCTATCCATCAAAATGCCCTTATAGTAGCAGTAACCCGTGCAATAAACATAAGCGTTGTCCTCCTAGTAACCTTTCTATAGACTAGTTTCCCTTATCATAGTAACTTAGAGAAAACCCTCTGCACTAGGCCGCCCCTAAAACCCCAAACCGTGGACAGGGCCCACCCGAGTCGGGTATACTGGGCAACGAGTGGACACCAGAACCCTGCTGGACCCGCCGTGGGGTTAAGAGCTTTCAGATTCGGGGTACACACGAACCCTAAACCCCATAATACTACAACCCTAAACCCTAAACCCTATAACCCCAAACCCTAATTTATTGTTCAGGCCCTATAGGGTTGAATTTGCCAGAGAGCTCAATACGGCAGAATTACTTTTTTTCGCGCGTGTACCGTATCTTTTCTGAGAATTTCAGGGTAGGGTCTAATCTTTTGGCTTTATGGAGTCCCTATATGCAACTGTACTCTGCAATACCCCGAAATCCCATCCAAGCCTTCAGGGCTCTGGACTAAAAATCCCATATTGGAGTTTCCGAGAATTAGGGGTACCTTATTTTGGGGTCCTTATTATCAGGATCCTACTATTTAGGGTGCTATATTAGGGTCCCCCTATTTTCGGAAACTCTCATATTGGGTAGTTCTTTAAATCCCCTGTAGAGTGCTTTTTGTAAGAGTGTTGTACTACTTTGGCGGACTTGAAAAGGGAACCTAATTTAGACAACTACCCAGATAATAATCAGAACAACCCCCATAGAAACCCTCCAGGAGCCCTTACAGGAACCGGGTTCTAAGTATGTCAGGCCCCAAAACCCAAAACTCTAGACCCTAAGCCTTAAGCCCTGAACCCTAACCCTAAACCCCTAAACCCTGAACCTTAAACCCTAAACCTACGACTCCCTATAAACCCTAAGCTTATAAACCCGAAACCATATCCCCCAAAAGCCTGAAATCTACAGGTGGGGCTCACGGGTCTCAGAGTCTTGAGGCGGGTTTTGGGGATCGAAGTTCCTATAGGGTTCCTGCAAAAGTTTAGGGTTTCGGGTTTAGGGTTTCGGGTTCAGGGTTTCGGGTTCAGGGTTTGGGCTTTCGGGTTTAGGGTTTCAAGTGCAGGGTTTCGGTTTTATTAGGGTTTGGGTTTTTGGGGTATATGGTCATGGGTTCCATTAAGGGTTCTATAAGCGTGCTGTAGGGTTTGGGTGTAGTTTCAGCGTTTAAGACTTAAGGGTTTTAGGCCGATGGTTTGGGGTCTGTGGTGCAGGATTTGGTAGTTGGTGACCTGGTAGACACTGGTAGACCGCTGTGGAATTGCTCGGCTACCCTGAGGGCTTGATCCATTTGTTTAGTGTTCCTTGATAAACCCATACTCGAATGTACCCTTACCCCCATCCATATACCAGTTACTGAGGCGACAAGACTAGATGGTGCGTTGGAGTGAAACGGATTTCCACGAACACGGGATGTGCTACCAGCTCCAGCTAGAACGCAGAGTTTGTCATTGTCATAACATTGCACTTCCACTTCTGCACTGTTAATGCTGGATCTGCATGCTGCTATGCTTCCGCACTACACGTCCTGCTGGCTGTGTCAGATGTTCGGCAAGAGCTACATAGCAGGTGGTGCTTCCGGTTGATGGTATAAATCCTGCATGACCCATAATAAGGAATGTACCATAATTCCCATAGTGTAGGGTCCTTAAGGTAATGCAGGATTTATATCATCAACAGTTCTGGCTCTGAAGCATGGCAACACCGAGCGGATGAAGCTTGCTGTGCCAGGCTTCACTTGGGTAGTTGTCAAAATTAGGGACCTTTTTTTGGGTACCCTTCAAGAGCCAAACTGTATGTCTGCATAATCCTAGCCCTAAACAAACCCCGAACCCGAAGGTCGGATGCCACGCCAGTCTCTACAGTCCCGAGCACACAGAAATGGGCGGCCCTGTACTCTTTAAGTAAGGAGTTTTCCTGAGACCATAGTAATGTCAAGGTCTCTATGATTTAGGGCTTGTTCTTGCGTTAAGGAGTATTGGGCTTTCTGAGCTTTAGCACACCCGCAAAACAGCAGGATCCTTACTGCGGGGACCCCCCCTGAAGTCTTTCCTCGAGCCAAGCCCTAGACAGCCTTTTCAAACACCTGACAACTCTGGAAGCCCTAAACCTTTGCAACCCCCCCTGGGTGTATAGCTAGATATCCCCGTACCCTAAGGCTCAAAATGGCCCAAAAGCCTTATATAGTATGGTCTTTGGGCCCAAACTCCTTAATACATGAGTCCTTAGAGCCCTCGGGGTAGTCGAGGACCGATCCACCTTCTGATGAACCTTTAGGCAGCGACTGGGGACGAGGGTTTCCAGGTTCGGCTTCAGAGTGTAGGGTGCACATACCTTAACCTACCAGAACCAATTCTTTGTAGGTCCCTATAAATCACATAGTGTGGGTTTATAACAAGAACCTACAACAAAGTAGGGTTTAGTAGGTCTCGGTACACCTACGTATACCTACATAGTCATGCTTTGCCTTGTTACGGGTACCCAGTTTTTTGTGGTTAGTATCTGTTATACAGAAATGTCTTCACCGGAAAAGAGGGGTGGGGTATGACCCTACTAGGATTCTAGAGTTCACGATTTAGGGCTCTCCTTTACCTTAACTTGCGGGGGTAGGGTTTCAGGGCATTCTGAAGTTTTTGCGCACCGTCTCAGAGGCGTGGAGTTAGAAATTTCAGGTAAATGTTAGTTTCGGGGGTTCGGCATCTTAGCTGCTCCTGTTCCCGTCGAGGCTCTTGCTCCTGCTCTTGCTCCTTGCTCTGGCTGTTACGTCAAAATAACTAGACGTGAAAGGCGGGGATGATTTCAGTGGGATAGCCCGACAGTGTTTGTATTGTGAGGGCGGGTGTTTAATGAAACAAGGGAGGTGATTGACTTGATCTGCCACATTAGAATAGGGAGGTAAGTCAGGCAAATAACGAAACAGACACACGCTTTGCTGTCCGCGCTCTGCACATAGATTGTCCAGAGGACTGGAACATGGACGAAGTTCCATGGGAGGAGGATGAGCCAGAGGTCTTTCCTAGTGCTTCTTGAGCGGATGTGTCCGCTGAGCAGCGTGCCAGCACATCCTGAAAGACTGCAGTGCATGATCCAGAGGCGACGTATGAATGGCTGAGTCAGTACACCACGCCCAACGCCTAGCGTTGACATGTGCCAGGTGAGAGACCGATTCGGGCTTTTCTGTTCAAAGACTTTCATCAGCTGTCTGAGGCCATTATCAAATGTCCCATATTGGGTCCAAGCCGCGAGCTTGGGTCAGGGCTTGTGCGAAGGGTGAAGTGTTCGTTAAGATGGTTCTCCCAAATCATACAGAAGTGCCCGCATAGTCGTCATAGTGGTGGTGGTGGTGGTGGTGGTGGTGGTGGTGGTGGTGGTGGTGGTGGTGGTGGTGGTGGTGGTGGTGGTGGTGGTGGTGGTGGTGGTGGTGGTGGTGGGGGTGGGGGGGGTGGTGGGGGTGGTGGGGGTGGTGGGGGTGGTGGTGGTGGTGGTGGTGGTGGTGGTGGTGGTAGTGGTAGTGGTAGTGGTAGTGGTAGTGGTAGTGGTAGTGGTGAGTCATGTGTTGTTGCAAATGGTAGAACCCTTCTAGATCCCTTCAAAAGGCACCCTCAGGCTCCCCCAGACGCATCGCAAGCAAGATCTTAGCCCTTCTTCGTCAAGCGAAGTTTTCCGAATTCCGAAGCCCCTAAATCACCAAAATCAAATCCCTCAGCCCTAAAGCCTTAAACCCGCATAATGCCCGATTAGAACCCTTCAAGGAACCCTTAAAGGAACCCTTAAAGCAACCCTAAACCCCTGAACCCCTAAACCCATAAGTACCCTCAGGTACCCCTATAGAACCCTTAAAGGAACCCTTAAAGCAACCCTAAACCCCTATAAACCCATATAGTACCCTGCAGTACTCCTATAGAACCCATAAACGAGCCCTGAAAGGACCCCAAAAAACCCTAAACTCACCTTTGGTTAGTAGGGAATGGAAGAATGGTAGTAATAGTAGGTATGATTGTACTCCATTCCTCCATTCCCTACTATATAACCAAATGTAAGTTATAGGATTAGTTAAGCCCCTAGATTAGAGTACCCTTATAGATCCCTTATAGTAACACGTATAGACCCCTTATGAGGCCCCCTCCATTCCCTACTAACCAAAGGTAAGTAAACACCTAACAAACCGCCCCAGGTGGCATCGATAAAGGTGCTCGAGAGGCCTTGGCTCCCTTTGAAGGGTTTGCGGTTTTCGCGGTTTTGGGTTCGGGGTTTAAGGGTTTTAGGCTTTAGGGTGTTCAGGGTTTTTAGGGTTTAGGGGTTATGGGTGAGTCCAGGGGTTTAGGGGTTTAGGTTTTCGCGGTTTAGGGTTTAGGGTCTAGGGGCTCAGGGTTTAGGGTTTAGGGCTTTGGTTTCCGGAAAGACAGGGAAACCTTCGAGCTCAGGGCTTGGAGCTAAGGGTTTGTTTCAGTCAGCTTCGGTTTGGGTACCCATTTTGTGTATAGGAGGCGTGTATCATATGCCATACTTTTCCAACAAACTTGTGGTGCACTTAGAACTTAGGTTGCCGATGGCAAGGCTTTAAACTTTTGGGCCTCGCATATGTGGGTTATCGGATCTCGTAGGAAGGTGGAGCTTCTTGGGACCGGTTATTGAATGAGACAGGTATGGCAAAGACAGCCACGACCACCATAGTTTTCAATCCTGAACCTAATCAAGGATTTGTTTCATGAGGCCTGTTGAATCAGTGCTTATCCGTGTGCGAGCCTGCAGGAAGCTCGGGTTAGGGGTTTGGGCACATGGTGCCTACTATGACATCAGTCGGTGGTTCAGCAGCGATAGCGATACCCACCGACATCAACAACACCATTGCTATAGCCATCATCATTCTTATCCATATATCCCCAGGGTCTTCGATCCCTAGACCCAACAGGCCCAACAATGAATCTCTTTTTGTTTGGTTTTCCGTATTTATTACGGTTCCCTTTGCTAGTGTTAGTTTTGCTCAGTATTGTTTTGGGTCGTAGCTTCATGCAGACCCCGGCTCAATGACCCCCTATGTCTCAATCATCCCTTCACAGAAGTGGGTTGCTCGTCAGGTGTCCATATGAAGTAAATTATACAGCAAGACCTGGTAAGTTATACCCGCAGCTTTAAATTCTGAGCCCCGGACCTGGCTCCTTTACTCCACCACTTTTGCCACAAGCTTATTATACCTATAGTACCCTTGCATATACTGGAGAACCTCTTTATAGAGCCCTATAGTACCGCAATATAGCCATGTTGGATCAGGCGCTGCTTCCTCTGAAACCTGGCTCCGAGGGGGGTGAGGCAGACACTGTCCCGCACTCTGCCGGGGAATAGATGGGGTTTAAAGTTTAGGGGGGCGGGGGGAGGGCTTTCAAGAAAGCTGGTCTAATTTTTTATTACGGGTGCTGTTGCTTCTAGCATCGGTACGAAGTTGCCGCGCATTGCTTCCATCGCTCATAGCTGTCCTTAGACGCATTCACTCTTGTTTTCGTATACTGGCTTACATGTGCACTTGGAACTCCAGGTCGTTGTCGATGCAGTTGTCTGTGTGTGTGTGTGTGTGAGCGTGTCTTTGCGTGTGTATGTATGTATGTATGTATGCAGGCATGCATGCATGCACGGATGCTGTATGTTTGTTTGTCTGTCTGTTTGTATCTATGTATGTATGCATGTCATTTGTATGTCTGTAGGAATGTGTGTCATTTGTATGTCTGTATGTATGTGTGTGTATGCAAGAACGTACGTACGTCTGTATGTATGTCTACATGTTCGTTTGTTTACATCGTAGGCATATTAACTTTGCCATGCAGCCTTTTCGCCTCAGCGGTTTTGGTATGTTCGTTTGCTGTGTGCAGTTCCGTGCAACATGGCAAGCACAACAGTGATGTGCTGGTGGAGATTGCCTATGACTGCGCTATTCCTTGCTTCAATACATATTTCTGCGGGAGGTAGTTTGCCCTTACCGAATTATTGGATCCACTTCATGGTTTCCTCGAAAGCGGACTTTCATGGTTTTAGGCAAAAGCCAGAAAGTTGGAGTATGATTATCCTAACCCTTCTGTGGTAAATTATAGGGTATCCTACCATGAAACCATATTCCAACTTTCTGGAGTTCCCTGTAGGGTCTCAGGTTCGAGTTTCTACTTTCTAGATGTTCTTTATGTAAATTGGGGGTGTGGGGGTATGATTCTTCGGAACCCTGCCTTGAAACCTTGCGGGTTCTTACTTTCGGAAGTACTTCCGAAAATTCCGAGTACCTTAGTTTGGGGTCCTAATAATAAGGATCCTACTATTTAGGGTCCTATATTAGGCTCCCCTATTCTCGGAAACTCCCACATAGCTCGGGGCTTTAGAGTCTACCGGGGGTTTAGTTGTTCCTTCCAGCATAGCCACTAGTATGCGACGCCAATGGAGCAACCCATCTTCCAGGTGAACTAGGTTTCTAGGCCAACCTACTTTCCAGCAGGTAAACTAGGTTTCGAGTGTAAACTGAACAGCTGGAAGCCCTCAGCACGCCTTCATTGTGACATTGTGCAGTTCAACGCGATGCCCCCGTCCAACGGCCGTGGAAAAGTGCCAGAAACGAAGCTTGGAGGCAACGAGCCTTCATCACAAGGCCTTATAAACATGCAAGTCCTACAACAATGGACCTCATTCGTCACAGTTTTGGGATTTTCAGGGATCAAGATTTAAATTGAAATTTTGGGGCTTAGAGGCTTCAGGCTCTGAGGCGTCAGAGGATGACTTATCAGCTGAGTGGATACACTTTACACTTATGGGGATCATATTACCCACTATAAAAACTAGAAGGGTGCACTTTTTGGGGGGCTTATGAACTAGTTAACTAATATGAGGGTATTACGTGCAGGATGGTAGAAGGTGTAGGGCCTCGGGTTGGTGGCCATGAGGATTTCGGGGTTTGAGGATTTGGGGTTTACCCAGAGGCCACAAAAGTAGTTCCTTTTTGGGGTTCATATATAGAATCCCATAAGGTAATCCCAAAAAGGAACTACTATGGGGCCTCTCCATTTAGTCTCATTCCCTAGATTCTCGGACATCTTGCAACATGATACCAAACCCGACACCCCAGCAAAACAAAGACCAGCAGAAGAGCTTAACGTTAAGATCGTTGACACCCCCACTCCACTTTGAGCGTGCTGGGTTCCGGCTATATAAGCTTGTTCTGTGCGTACTTGCTCCAAAGTGACGTCTAGGTACGGATCATACGGTTTAGGATTTACTACACAGTATGCATGGACTCTCTACCATGTTTATGCAGCTCATATGTAACTTAAATCAACCTACTATAGAAGTTTAAATAAATACCAGAATTGTTGCTCAGGAAGTTCCTTATTATGCTTATACTATACAGGAATCCCCAAACCCTATTCTAATCACTATAGGGCCTTTATGGTGCATGAAGAGAACCCAGGATGTGGGTCGTGGCCAAAGATGCCTTCGCCGCCCGTGGTGAGACCTGCAGGCCATCTACTCCAGTGGCCTTCATCATTCGAGCAGGGTTCCTGAAAAGTTTGAAGGCTCCGGTTGAAAGCGGTTCTATATAAGGACTACTACAAGGGTTTCTATACATGTGTTTAGAGTAGGGGCCTTAAAGAATAAGGCTAGGTGTTTGGGGGGGTTGGGGGGAGGTATATTATACTATAATCAAAATATGGAACCCGCAAAGCTTTTTCTTTAGCCCCCTGCATTACGAGGAAAGACTTCACAGCCATACGGCTCTGGGTTGAGGTGTTGGAAGGTTAGTGGCTAGTGGTTTCAGGAGTATGGGGTTCACTGGTATTTGGCTGAGACATACTTAGCGATATAACGTCCCCGTACAGTCCCGATGGAGTAAACTTCCCAGTAGTAGTGCTTGGACATATTTACGTGTGCATATATGTCTGTCTGCATGCATGCCTATATGTATGTGTATATATTTTCTGTATGTAATGATGCATGCATGTTCCGTGTGTGCGTGTAGTTGTGTAAGTATGTAATGTGCATGTGGAAGCATGTGTGTATATATGCACTCATGTTTGTCCGCATGTATGTATGTATGTACGCACGCATGAACTTGTGGATGCATGAATGGTTGATGATTGATTCAACGAACGAACGAATGAATCAAGTACTAATATATGTATGTATGTGTTTGTGTATGTGTATGTGTATGTGTGCATGCATGCAGGCATGCATGTATGTATGTATGTATGTATGTGGTTTATGTATGCACGTATGTTTATGTATGCATGCATGTAAGTATGTACGTACGCAATGCATGTAGGTATGCAAGCATGCTCGTTTGCTTCTGTGTCCGTAGGTAATCAGGTGATATGTATATGAGTATTTGAGTGCCGGCATTTTCGCCCTTACTCCCGCTCCAGAAGTTTCGAAGACAGCTCGGTGCTTTGACAGTCGGGATGCTGTTTAGGGCTCAGTTTTTGTTTGCTGGATTTTGGGATTTGTTGGGTTCGGGACCGGGTTTTGGGGGGTCGGAACCGGTTTCAGATGCTCGTGTAGAAGCTTGACCAAGCCCTGCTGCCAGCCACCCAACGCGCAGGACTGCGGCTGTGCTGGGTTGGGACTGGATCCATCACCTTTGTGCCGACTGCGACGTGCTAATCCGCGACAAGGACTGTGCAACATCAAGAAGGGATGCGTGTTCAAATACAGTACTGTGGGTACGGCCCCCCACTCAGTACTAGTTGAGTAATATTTAACATAGATATATTAGGACCTTAATAGTAGCCCTGTTATAGACTCTTACGTTATGGGGGCAATACCTACACAGTACTGCCTTGCCCGCTTAGTATCCAAAACTTGGCGCCCAGTCTTCAGCGCCGCATTTCGGGTCTTGCGGAACTTCGTTCGGGGATTGTGATAATACCCAAAGGGTCCAAGCATCATTATGGTATATACTTAGACCCCCCCCCAAAAAATACCCCATAAGTATATGCCAAAATGGTACTTGGACCCTTTGGGATAGAGAGCTTGTGAAGGCACCCTTGTGATTTCTCGACGGCAACGGTTCATGTCTCTAGAGTATCAGCAGCATCTGCACCACTGTTGACTCATTGACCCTAAACCCTAAACCCTAAACCCTAAACCCTAAACCCTAAACCCTAAACCTTCCTTACGTTTGCACGGCGCTCAGGGTGCCCTGAGCCCTGCACCCGAAACGATGAACCACAAGAGCTTACACCCTGAACCCAAAACCCGAATCCCTGAACCCAAAAGCTCAAACCCTGAACTCGAAACCTAAAACCGTGAACCCGAAACCTCAACCCCCGCAGCCAAATCCTTCAACCCTGAACCCGAAGCCCTAATCCTCCTGAAATCTTGGGCCCTGAACAGCCGCCACATGTGTCCATAGTTTACAGCGTTTACTCGTTCAGGTGTTTAGGCGCCTCGGGTTTGAGGTTTGGAGTTTAAAGTTTAGGGTTTAGTCACAGAGGGGCACGGACTTGTTTGTTGACATGACGACAGGTTAGCATCACACGTTGCTGTGACAGACATTCATGATGCAGGACGATGAGGAAGCGGCGGCTCAGCATCACTTTCCCTAGGGTCCATGCAGCTAAGTACCAAGTAGTATCTGCTTCGCCAACTAGTACTTTAAGGCCAAAGTATATACTATTCGGGTACATGGACCCTTCGGGTCTCGAATTCCTGGTGACAGTTTGATTGTTCAGGGTATATGTTCGGGTTGCCTGTGAAGCTATTTTTCCTGTGCCGTGCCAGCCTTGGCATGCCACTTCCCTCCCCCTCAGCCCTGTGTAGTTCCCCAAAGAGTCCTGGAAATACTTCCCCAAGCCATAATATAGTAATTCCAAACAGAGAAACCCTGCATTCTACTATGTAGGTACTTTGGACCCGTTGGGTTCCATACTTTGACCACCGTCTGAGGGAGAAGCAGAGTCGCTTCACAGGGGCGGCCGGGGGTGGGTCAAAAGGAACTCGGAAGGAGGAGGGAGGGACCCGATGCTGGCGCACATATAAGCCCTTCAAGCCTTACAGACCCTGGACGAGGTACAGGCAATCGTTGGCTTCAGCTTTACAAGAGCAGTTGAGGTTTCAGGGCGTAGGGTTCAGATTGGATGATGTGCGTGTGTTTGCTTTCTTGGGGGCCGCATGAAGAGTCCGTGTCAAGCAGTTTTCAGATTTAAAGATTAGTTGATTGTTTGCGGTCACACCATTCTTACAGTGCAAAAAGCCAACAACAGGGTTTGTCTCCTGCAGCCCATGGGAAGGGCTGAGGGCCGACAGTCGGGACCTTCAAGCTGAATGTCGCGCAGTGGTCAGAACTTGTAGCTTAATGGCTAGTTCATGACAGTTCTGCATACGCTTACAAGTGTGTATGTCCTAGAATCCTAGAACCACCTCATACCTGTGAACCTTGAAGTAGTGGATGGTTTTGGGGCGACGGAGTCATGGTGAGACCTTCAGCAAGGCAGAAGCAATGGCGCAGCTCATCCGAAGCCACGAGCCTCCCGACCTCATGTTCCTTCACCTGGAGTCTTGGATGCAGTAGTGGGAGTAGTTGTCGTCGTTGCAATGGTAATGGCCGTGGTACTGCAACTGGCACTGCTACTGGTACTGGTTCTGGTACTGACTGGCAATCGTGGTTGTGGTAGTGGTGTGATGGCACTACCAGTGGTAGCAGTGGCAGCAACAGCAGTAGGAGTCATCGTCGTCGTCATAGTGGTAGTCGTAGTCGTAGTCGTAGCAGTAGAGTATAGTAGTAACAGTAGTAATAGTAGCAGTAGCAGTAGTAAGAAGTAGTAGCGGTCAGCAGTGGTGGTAGCAGTAACACATGAGGAGGAGGACTGTGTCGTATCGGGGAATCGTTGTGGCGTGTCAGAGGCAGCTGATGGGGGCTCTGTTTGAGTCTCATCTGTGCTATATTCTGACCTTGTTTGGCTTGCTTGGGTCTGTGTCTCATTTGGGGCTCCTCTGTTCTCTATATCAAGATGAAGCCTGACAGTGGTCAATCTAGAATCTAGCCTTGTGTCGGTATTTGGCTCGGCCCAGAATAAGGCCTTATTAAGCTTCTTGTGAGGCTCTTTTTGTCATTATGATAAGGCTTGATGAGGCGGGTTTAGTTTGCAGTGAGCTCTTTCATGACCGATCTTGAATGAACTCATGATCAGAAGCACTGCGAGATCTAAGGATGAAGTGGACCATGCAGGGCACGATCACGGCTGGGGCTCCGCGCAGTGCTCCTGCTCGTGGTCTTGATCCGTTCCGTCTCTCCCATACCGCACAGCCCTTGCAGAACGCCTGCAAGTCCCATTCAAAAGCGCACTAAACTCGCAAAAACCTTTGTTAGCATCGTGCCGGTGTAGAAAAAATCCCTTGTAACCCCATAAACATGAGAAACATGTAATGACACACAGACTGAAAGGCTCCTAGGTACTGATACGGGGATACTTCCCCAAACCATAACCTCAAAGGTAATTCCTACTATAGAAGCTCTACACTCGATTCTTACAGGTTCTTAAAACCCTTTTAACCGGGTCTTTTGAGAGTGCTCCAAGTTCTTCAAAAAAACGTTCAAGGATGTTATTGGTACAGATCCTACGGTAGATGATATAAAATTCTGCTTTACCTTAAGGACCCTAGACTTTGGGAATTAAGGTGTATCCCTTATTATGTGTAATGCAGGATTCATATGGGAGTTTCCGAAAATTAGGGGTACGTTTAAAGGGATCCTTTAGGGGTATTTTGGGGTCCTTATGACAAGGATCCTACGATTCAGAGTACTATAGCAGGGTCCCTCATTTTCGGAAAGATCCATATCATTAAACCGTAGGAGGGCCGTAGGCTCGAAGTTTATGCTAGGATGCCCAGTAGTACCCCTATTCCCTTTTCGTAGTCCTAGGTTCTTTACAAAGTTACTCAATACCAAAAAGGGAGCCCTTTTTTATTCCTACGTTACTGGGCATCCTAGTATGGGTACAGGATCTGACCGTTTGGAAAAGTTTCAAGCCCTCATGAGGCTTACACCCTTGACTTGAGCCACTTGCGTTCAATGCTGAGGGCAACTCCTGGCGCCACAGCCAAGATCAGCCAAGTTTTCTTGTGAGCCCACAGAATCCATGATACCTTTGAGTCATGCAAGCCCCTGGTACTGGTAGATGCCAAACAAACCTAACCGTCTAAGAGCACATCTCCTGCATCTTACCGTATGAGCCCAGCTGCCTCTAGAAGTGGCTACTCTGCTTTAGTGTAGTCTCCATTGCAGTTCCTTGTTTTGGCTAACCAGCGTTTAGGATGTGGATCCTGTAGTATCGGACACAGAAGAAAAGCCTAAACCCGTATAGCACCCTATATAGACCCCTGAACGGAACCCGAACCAGATACGCTATATGTATATTAGGGACCCAAAAAGGACATAAGCATAAGCATGTTTTAGGGATATCCCTACCTTAAGGGGCTTGATTATAAGGGGGTTTATAAGGGATATCACTATCCTAAGTTTTGCTTATGTGCTTTTTTTCGGGGCCCTAATGTAGCCTTTGTGTCAGGAACCTGATCTATGGGCACTGAGCTCTGTTAGGACACTTTTGTTAGACCATCCGGAGCCACCCGAAAGACCTTACAGCGGTTCAGGGTGTAGGGTGTCGTAATTCCCACTCAGAGCCCATATAAATGCTCATTGTCATGGTATCCCAAGCGAACCCAGCATAAAGCGCTTTTCGAGCCTCTGTAAGCTTCTTTTTAGCTCAAGAATCCCTTTTGCACCCTTTGTAGAACCCTTATAAACTTATAGAGCCCTGATAGCAGATCTTAATAAAACCATACACGAACAAATAAAGCACTAGGAGAGCAGTGAAATACACACTGGGCTACTGTCCTTGAAACCCTTTGCAGACTGTATGGTACTCATAAACGAGCTGATAAGGGAGCATGTGCAGGTACTTCGCCGCCATGCACGATGCGGAGCGGAGAATAGTTTAGGGTTTAGGGGTTTCGGCAGGTTTCCGCTGGAACACGTGCAAACATGTCATGGTGGATTGCAGAGACACCGCATCCAAACCGTATGATTCCGCCGTTGATGGTGGCCTCCAAGGAAGCCCGCAACGTAAAGCCCCTGATGAAAATCCTGAGAAACAGCCATACGCCGCAAAGTCGACGAACATCACTTATACACGTTTAAATCTTAACCCCTAAACTCGGGCTTGAAAGCACCGACAAACCCTGCACACAAATCCAAAACACTAAATCCGAACCCCCGCCCACACCCGGATGGAACCCAGGCCTCAAAGCACTTGGAAACTCTGGGCCCTAACCTAACAGCACTCCTAACAGGCACCCGACACCCCGAGAACCGTACAACACCAACCCCACTACGTAGGAGCCCTTTTAGGATCCCTTCAAGGATCCTCTTAATGGAGCTCAAATCAAACAATTGACAAACTCCTACTTGGAGGGTCGGGGGACTTAGTAACTAGTTATTTTAGGGACTTGTAAGTACCATAGCCCCAAATAGGGTCCCTTTTAGGGTACTTATAAGTCTACTTACTAACTACTTACTAAGTCCCCCGACCCTCCAAGTTGAGGGCTATTTTAGAGTCATCTATAGGCTCGGATCCCCTTAATGGAGCTCAAATTATATAAAAAATGACAACCCCTAGGACCCCTCAAAGGATCTGAAACTTCGAAGTTTCGAAGGACCGGCGTTTGGGTCTCCTCCTCGAGGCTCTGCGCAGCGCCGGCCTCTTGGAGGCCGTCTTTGCTGAGGGCCTTTGTCCGGGTTCACAGGGGTTTTAAGGTTCCTTTAAAGGGATCTATAATCGGGCTCTTGTTAAGGAGTTTATGGTTTAGGAACCGTTTGTTTGTTTGTTTGTTTTCGTAAGGAGTTTAGGAGCTTAGTTTGAGTTACCATAATAGGGATCTATAGTTTATGCTATGGCTTCTGCACTATGGTAACAGGGGTTATGGAGTTCAGGCTTTTCTGAGTTCTTGTTAAGGAATCTCGTTTAAGTTACAAGAATGGGGACCTATAAGGGCTCATTTAAGGGATCTTTAAGAGGTCCTTTAAGGGTTAGGGAATTTAAATTTAAGTGACTGGAGTAGGGATCTATGAGGGCTCCTTTAGGGGATCTATAAGGGCTCGTTTTAGGTTTTAAGGTTTAAGTTACCATAGTAGGGGTCTATAAGGTTATATTATGGTTTTTTAAATAGGGTAACTTAACATTAGACCCCTTAACAAGAACCCAGCTTTTCAGGATTCCCAACATGTTTCCTTAAGGGCGGTTTAGGGTATAACGTTTAGGGGTTTATAAGGCACATTCCTAGGCCCTGGAAGGGGCCCGGAAAAGATTCCAAAAAGGATGCTTTAGGTTTGGAGGTTTGGGGGTTAGGGTTTACGGTCTAGGTTTAGGGTCCAAAGTTTAGGGTTTCATTGCTGCTTGAACCTGAAGTAGAACGCTTTCAAGCTTCAAGCCCTTACCTCAGCGGACCAAAAGCCTACCCTTATAAGGCGAAAATCCTGAGGGTCTAAGTAATTACCTAATTCTCACATACTCTCCAAACTAGTAACCTACATAACTACTATCCTAAACCCGAGTACCTAATCATTGGGTCTTGTGGACACTTAGGGAATAGGCTTGCCAGGGTTAAGGTAGCAAGCGAACCTTGCAGCCCCAAAGCGTAATTGCTAAACCCCTACCTGGACCCTATCCAGCCTACCGTTTTAGGGCCCTCATTATGACTTTCTTGTAGAAGTCCTTGTTGGGTTATTGGAGGCGAAGGTAGGCCTTAGAGCCGCCAAAAACAACCTTCAAACCCTTAGCTGCATGTGCCCAAAGCCATATCCTGAAACATCCAATCTTTCCAGGAAACCTTCGTTGTCGTCATCGCTGACCACGGAGGCTGGAGCCTTGCGTAAGACTTCCTTTCAGGACTCTTGTGGGAGTTCCTGGGAGCTCCTTCAAGTGTTCTTCCAAGGGTTTTCGTGGGGTTTGGGCTTCGGGGTTTCATGCGGTTTGGGGGTTTAGGGCTAGGTAGGTTCCTGTGGGGTCGGAGTATAGAGGCCAGTAGTTGTGGGGTTCCTGGCTTTCAAGGTTGCTTTGGGAGGGCGCAGGATTTGCGGACCCTGAAACTTCAACTCTCAAACCCAAACTACACCCTACTCCTTAACCTAAGCCCTAAACTCTAATGCCTAAACTCTAAACTAGGTAGTATTAGTATTCTTAGGGAGACCCCTTACAGGGTACCCCTTCTGAACCCTACTTCTGGCTCTCTTAAAACGGGCCTTATTGAGAGGGTCTATATCCCCAAGGGTCCCCCTAATCCTAACCCCCATAAACTCCTAAACCCTAAACCCTAATGCCTAAACTCTAAACTGAACTCTAGACCGGTTCAAGGCTTTGTTCATGCTCAGGGATTTAAGTTTAAGGGTTCAGGTTTTAACAGTTCCTTAAAGGGTTCACCCACATCTCAGGCCCCTAGGAAGCTCCCCTAAGGGTTCAAAGGACCCAATAAAAAGCTACTATTTGCTTAAGAACCCCCCAAAAAATAAGAAATATGTTCCTTATGGGGGTAATATAGGGATTAGTATTGTTATTTTTTGGGTGTTTCTTAAGCAAATAGTAGAAAGGTATTCGAGTTTAGGATCGTAGTTATGTAGGTTGCTGTTTTGGAAAGTATATGATAGCTAAGTGCTTGGACCCGTAGCGTTCTTTTACTTCGAAACCTTAAGGCCTTATAGAGCCCTTTAAAAGGGACCCTTACTATAGTAACCCTACAGTATATCACGCTTTGAGGGAACCTTAAGGTGCCCTCCTTCAAACCACCCCGAGGCTTTGAGCAAGACCATGGCGGTTTCACGCAGGCCGGGCCTCACTGCGGAAGGTCTGCGCTTTGTGTGTTGGGCTTGGAGTGCCAGGGTTTTTTGGCATCAGCTTTAGGGGTTTCGGGTTGAGGGTCTAGGCATCACCATGGGTAGTATAAGTCGGAATATACCAATAACAGTCCTCTTTACAGCAGTACGACATTATCAAAGCATAATGCTTGATGTCATATTCAACATCTGCACGGTGCTTGTCATGCTATGCCCAGCACCCAGCAATGCTTGAACCCCAACGGCCCTGTTCGCTAAAACCGAAACTCCCAACACCTAAGCCCTAAACCTTGAACCCCTTAATCCCCAACCCTTTCCGGTGGCCTCCGTCTTGAACGCTCAACCTGGCTGACGACTGCTCTGGCATCGGGGTTTGGTCTAGGGCTTAGAGGTTTTGGGTTTAGAGGTACATGCGCATGAAATTCCCGTATCACACTAAGTGTGGGCGACCGCTATCGCACCTGCTAACATTTGTGGAAGGTTTGTTCACTATGGGAGCCTGCAACAACTATACTATTAAAGCGTTATATAGTATAATTGGCCCCAAAACCCTATTCTGACAATTAAGGCCCCTACATCGCGTCCTGGCAGAGAACCACACCCAAATTCCTAAACCCGAACTCTAAACCCCGAAAACCTCAAACCCTAAAACCCCTAAATCGTGCGCTGCACTCTCAAGCCTGGGCCGCAGACCTAAACACTGCACCCTTGCCGTAGCACATATAAAGCCCTCAACTGCAGAAAACCGGAGCACTCAAAGCATTGAGTCGAAAACCTCATCTACACAGAACTCTCTGAAAAACATAAAAGACGAAACCGCAGAGAACACCTTGCAGGTAGAACTTTTCGTCCCGTTCGTGGTTCGCGGCCCCGGGGTGCTCCGGGGAAGGAAGCTCGCAGAGGCACGGCTTTTAAGGGCATAGTACCTGCGCAGCATTCTGATCGGGTTGTTAGACGGTTCTGTATGGCTTTAACATGCTTTAACTCAGGGCTCTAAGGACTCATATATTGAGGCTTCTGGGCCCAAAGACTATTCTATATAAGGCTTTTGGGCTACTTCAGGGTAATTTCGTTTGAATTGAGCATATTTGTAGCCACCTTCCTTGGGCAATTACAAAGTACGACTAAGAATGCCTTTCCTTAGGGTTCTGTTAAGACCCCCATGCGCTCCAAATTGCCCAAGGTCCACTGTTGAGGTTCTGAGGGTCATGCTACAGTGGAGCTTAGAGCTAGCTTGCGAGGTTGTGTTTAGTGAGTTTGACCCTAAACCCTAAACCCTAGGGTTTAGTTTAGTGCTATGGTTGCCGGGTATTCACCTAGACTAGTGCCTGTTGCAGGTTAAGACTGCAGCTCAATTCCTGAACTCGCGCATTGACATTTCTCAAAACATGTGGGTGGTTGTCAAAATTAGGGTCCCTTTTTGGGTCCAGGGACCCAAAAGGGGACCCTAATTTTGACAACCACCCATGTGTTGTAGTAGGATTAGTAGCAGACGTAGTGTCGTCGTCGTAGTAGTCGTGGAGTAGTCGTGTAGCGGTAGTCGACGTCGTCATCGTCGTCGGCATCGTCGGTGGCGGTAATTCTATTCATGTATGGTTTAATTTGCGGCCTCAGCTCCTGCCACTCCCTCTTCCTTCACACCGAAGACATCCCGACACCTGAGGCATGCCCTCTAACAAGCCTCACTTGCGACAGCAATGCTTGCCATACGGGAGTTTCAAAAAAAAACTAGGGGTACCGGGTACCTTATTTGGGGTCCGTTTCATAAGGATCCCGCTATTTAGCGTACTATTTCGGAGACTCCCATATGATCGTAGACAGAGAACTCTTAGCAGACCCCTCGGAAGGAAAGCAAACCTAAACCTGGAGGACTCCAAAGGTGGCATCAAGGCCGGTAGTGTTGAGGATCCTTTGTATCAGGACTCTTGTCTCATTTGGGAGGACCACAATTACCCTCATCCCACCCTTGGAGGTCTTTGACGGACCCACAACCGAAACCATGAACCCTAGACCCCTCACCGAAATCCTAAAACTCGAAACCCTAGACCCATGGAAGGAAAACAAACCTGAACCCCCATGCGAGGACGTGGTTTGTGTGAGCCTCTTAGACGTCGCACCGACGGCACTGGCTTCTCTGGGTGTTCGGCCCGGGCGGTGGATGCGGGGCCGCGTGGTGGAAGAGTGCTTCTGAGCTTTGGGATTCAAGGTGTTTAGAGTCTAGGCTAATTAGTGTTTAGGGTGGTTCCGAGCAGTTTGTGTTGTTAATATAGAGGTCGGAGTCAATCCTTGTAGCCTTATAGCCCTTACCCTACAATTTAGGGTATGATGCACCCCCAAATCCCTGTGTTGATTCTTCACGCCCCTATAGATTGTGAACATTGCAGGGAAGGGAGGCGGCGGGGGTCGGGTCTTTGTTCATTGCTTCCGTCAGACAAGCAGTTGTTTTTCAAAAGGGCAAGAAGTGCCATGATGAACGTACTCGAACCTTACACCCTGAACCCCAAACCCTTCGAACGTACTACCAGAAGGTCTGTTTAAGCCTTAATAAGGAATTCCACAAGTAGGTTCTGATAAGTTTAGTTCAACCCGCTGAGCTTTCTGCGCCAAAGCTGCCAGCAGTATTCAGCAACCTGCCAAAGTTTGCAGGAGCTTGGGGAGGACGAGAAGCCGGTAGAGCCAGGGTTTTGGGGTGTAGGCTTAGGGTTCAAGCGACCTATGGGGGTTTCTATCCGTGAGGATTCAGGGTTTAGGTTTATAGGTATCTAGATCTTCTGATTAAAGGCCTTAATTGCGTTATCTTGGAATATCTGGGCACCTTAACCACTAGAACGCACTCTATTTGCAGCTTCGTTAACACCAAAGCCCCCAAACCCAGTCAAGTACCTTCTTCAAAATTCGCAGCGCCTTGTATCTAGTAGCTTGCTGTCACGGGCCTCATACATAAGATGATGTGTGGTTCATAAGCACCCTGTCTCTAAAGACCCGACTATAAAGATCCCTATTTACCATCTTTATTGATATGTACACCTGCAAGATGCCCAAAAACATCTTGGACATGAAAAAACATCATGGACAGAAACCATTGAAGCCCATCCCGTAGTACAGACATTATCGTAAATAGTGTAGGTATATTCATGTAAGCCCCAAACCCCAAACCCGAAACCTAAACAGCAAACCCTGGACCCTTCGGCCTACCGTTACCGTGGACAGAGAAAGCAGGCGGAAAAAGGTGCTGAGCAAAAAGCCTACCCTAAGGTGCCGAAAAAAAGCCTACCCTAAACCCTAAACCCTAACCCCGGTCCTAACACTTTAGGGGACCTCAAAATGTAGGATGCCTTAGACCCCAAAGACACCCAAGGCCTCTCCTTAGGAGATTCCGGACCCTCCTAAGGAGATACCTGGACCTTTAGGGTAAACTCCCTGGTACCAAGGCGAGCTTCCTTTAGGGGTTTGAGTAGTAGGGTTTAGGGTTTAGGGTCAATTTACGGTTTTTAGGGCTAGTATCATTACCAAAGGAGTCTGAATCAGTAGTCCCCCTGCACAGCCCTTCACGCAGCCCTTAAAGGAACACTGGGTTTAGGGTTGAGGGCCATCTGCTTGTCACCTCTCATCCTACGGGTCAAAGTGCTGCTGGGCCTTCTGGGTACTTGCGACAAGTTGTCCGTGTGGCATTCGCGACCATGAAACCCTGACGTTCTAAAGCCTATAATTTGGATTTGGGGTTTGCTATAGGGGCCTTAATAATTAGAATAGGGTTTCGGAGCCCATTATATTTTTGTATAGTCATAGGTACTAAGGCTTTACGCTAACACCCGAAATCCTTACATCTCCAGCCATGAAGACTGTCTATTCTTTAGCAGATCGCGCTGCCGACTTTGCTCGATGAATGTAGGGGCCTCAATAATTACCTATATATACTATTTTGGTGGTTCCTTACTATAAGTATAATGCGACAGAAAACCCTAGTCGAATTATTAAGGCCCCTATATTAACGGAGAGCTTGTTGCACTGAATGCGCTGCAGACTTTGGCTTAGACCGATCTTCTCTATATCAGCTGCCATAGTTCACTGAGAACAGTGAATACTGAACCGTGAGAGCCCCGTTAACAGAAAAGCTGAACCGTGCCTAGACTGTCTGAGGCTGGATCCAGACAACACAGAGCCCGGAAAGAAACCCCAAATCACCAACATCTTCAGTAAGAGTCCCGGGAGCCAATACTCCTTCAAGTTACATAAGATGTCATCATGAAGAGTTACTGCATACGCCATGGTTCATGGGCATGGGTCTCCGGCACGGAGATTTTAGGGTGTAGGATTCAGGGTGAAACACACGATTACAAGAAGATGCCGCCCTCGGACTATGCAATGGCGACGAACTGGATCTGGGACGCGCTGCGTGACTTAGAGGCTGCTTCATATAATTGAAGGACCTAAATAATTACCTATACTAGTGTTAGGGGTTCCTTATTATAAATTTACTATACTAGTCACGGGCCCCAAAACCCTATTCTAATTATTAAGGCCCCTATGTTATACAACCAGAATGGAATTCGGCCCCCAAAAGACCATCCCCATCATGGTTTTGGTTACTTTGTCAGGAAGATAGCTAAACTATGATACGACCCCATGCTAAGGAGGATTCCTTTATTTAGGTCATATTGGAAGATCTCGGTTGTTGACGATAAAGGCCTTGGCCGTCGGACCAGTTTCGGTTATTAACATCCCAGGAGAGTTCATATATACTGCCATGATGGAACTAGCTCCCCAAGGACCAACCTTCCAACTTTCATTTTTTCTGGTATATGGACCCTAGGCCATATAAACCCTAAACCCCTAAACCATCCCCGACCCCTAAACCTTAAGCCCTAAACCCTTGAATCCTAAAACCTAAACCCTAAGGCCGTAAATCCTGAACCTTAAACCTTAAACCCTGAACCCTTCAATCCTGGGGCTTGAGGGCTTCAGGGTTGAGGGTTTAGGGTTAATACTCCTATAATAGCTCAGGGTCTCCCCCTCATTTGAGGGATCCCTAAAGCAGGTACGAAGCCGGATGCGGGTGTTCGAATACTTGGTAACCCTCTACTCCCTGTGCAACTCTGATTGTTGCGAGCCTTCCTTCAAACACTGAGCAGACTTAAAAATAACTTCTAGCACTACTTTCACTGAAAGCTCATAGCTGAACCTGTACGAGACAAGATGTGACCTGGAGCCCGGAAAACGTCAGCTTGCAGCTACCTGATATAGGGGCCTTAATACTTACCAACACTTTTTTGGTGTTCCTTGTTATCAATCATTATAGTATAATGGGCTCCAAAACCTTCTTCTAATTATTGTGGCCCGTATATAACATGTCTATGACGAAGACGCGTTTTCCGAGTTGTTCAGGTGCGTGAGGATACCGTTTTTGTCGGAAGCTCCACTGCTACGGGATGGCCCAAATACCTAAACCCCAAACCCAAAACCCCAAACCCAAACCCTGAACCGTAAACCCCCAAATCCAAAACCTAAAACCCCAAACCCAAAGCCTCTAAACCCTGAACCCCATAGATTTTTTATGGATCCCTTCAGAGGAAACCCACCCTAAACCCCGAACACCAAAACCCTTACCACCGGCCTCCCTCTTAACCTGAAACCCCATAACCCCAAACCCTATAGATCCCTTCCTTCCAGACGGAGTTGGTGATGTCAGCACTGATCCCGACTGACTGGGACTGGAACCAGGCCCCTTCTTTTCGGGAGTCCCAGCGTTTTGGGTTTAGAGTGTTACGATACTAAGGTTTATATGGTTTTAGTGTTTTAGGGTGTTAGGATTTTAGGGTTTATGGTATTAGTGTTTTAGGGTTTTGGGGGTTTAGGGTTCAGGGTTTAGGGAAGGGGTCCTGAGGGTTCCTTTAATGGCTTAGAGCTTGAGGTTTCTTTTAAGGGTGTCCGTTCGGGATGAGGTCTTGGGATTTTCGGGTTGAGCGGTTTGTTTAATTAGGGCTTCAAAGGTTGGGGGGCTTATTCGCAATCCCGTAGTCTTGAACTGCCAAAAAACTCTTATAAGCATTCCACCCGCCCTAAACCCTACAAGTAAAACCCCTAAACCCCAAACCGCAGCTGCAAATCTTTGAAGGCTTTGATGCTTGAATCTCACTACGGGTCCAGGTTCAATTCTCGTAACTTGCATTTATGCTTTGGTTGAAGAGGAGTTTCTATGTAAGGACTTAGGGTGGTAGTTTGTGCTATTTTTGAGAGATGGGCCCTGCAAAGGCCCAATAGTACACCCTACAATCCGATCCAAGACCCCTTGTTCTGCCATATAAGATTGCAAGAGTAGGTACCTGGGCGTTTAGGGTTACCTAGGGTTTACATAGGGTTTAGGGTTTCAGGTCTTATCCCCGGCTCTGTTCTGAATCTTGGGCCCTGAATCTTTTCCCAAAGGATACAAAGTGCCTATACAGTAGAATGCAGCGTTTCTGCAGCAGGAGTTCATATTAAGATTTGAGAAGGTACCCATCATAACTTGCCACACTGACCCCTCCAGAAATCCCTTAAAAGGCCCACAATTTCCATAGTCTTGCTGTCATTAAGGTAATGCAGTATTTATATCATCAACCTGAGTTTGAAGTATACTCGGAGGGATCTTCGAATATTGGGGTGTCAGAACTCTAAATGAACCTGTAAAGCAACCCTAAACCCAATGACTCCAGTTTCTCAAATGGTAGGTTGCGGGGGTATGTAATAGAGGGTTAGTCACCTACGGGCTATTTAGGTAACTGGAGCCCTACTTAAAGGACCATGGGACTTAGTAACTAGGGTTATAAATAAGGTAACTATACTTATAAATACTTATAACCCCAATTAGGGGACTTATAACCTTACTTACTAAGTCCCCTGATCCTCCAAGTAGGGCTATGAACCTTTTCAATCCTAAACCCTGGACCCTACGAATGCCTTCAAGACCTCGCCTTATGGAACCCTTATACCCCAAGTGACCCGAAGGAGGTGGGCACAAGTGGGTGGTTGTCAAAATTAGGGTCACTTTTTGGGCACGGCACCTAATATTGGGTTCCCAAAACAGGGAACTATAACTTTGATAACCACCCAAGTGAGCTGAAAGAGGTGACGATGCCGGTCATCCCTTTCAGACAGGAGATTTAGAAGTCTGGAATCAACCTTATAGACTTATAGGTTCCCTGAGCCCTTACA